CAACTAGTCCATACCAACAGTTTTATCGTTGATTTTTAATCTCCAGTAATTAAACAATAGGTATATCGCCTTCGTCGGTATCCGTCCTAGGCACAGTCTATAGTTATACTTCACCCCGCCTCGACTCGTTACTTCGCCCCCGGACCCCCCCCCCCCCCCCTCCCTCAAACCTCCTCACGACTTTTCTCTTCCAGCACACTACCCCTACTCTCACTCAACGCCTCCGAATCAACCTCCAACCCCTCCTTCCCGCCAGTATTCCCCTGGCTCCCAATCCTCAAAAAGGCACACAACGGAATCCCCAACGACGCGATTCCCGCACAGTACAAAAATGTCGCACTATAGGGCTCAATCGGATCGCCCTTGAAGTAACCCCCAGTGGCCGTCCCCTTGGCCACAACTGCATCATAAATCGCTGTACTGATCCCCATCCCGATCGTCACACACAACTTGGTGACAGTCTGAAAGATCCCGCCGGCGATGCTCTGCTGCGCAGGGGGCAGCGAGCTCATGACGTACATGTTGGCAACGCAGAACTCGAAATCTGCGCCCACAACCGCCAGCACCAAACCCGGAAAAATGAACGCCCAGTAGATGCTGTTCGAGTGCTGGAGGCCCATGAGCAAGAACGAGCCGACGTAGGCGGTGGCGCCGACGGCCATCAGCAGGCTGTTGGAGACGCGGTGCATGATGAGGCCGGCGATGATGTTGACGATGATCCCGCCGATGGCCATGGGCAGCATGTGCACGGCGACCATGAGCGGCGAGTAGCCCTTGATGCGCTGCATGAACAGCGAGACCCAGAAGGACATGATGGGAAAGGCCAGGAAGCCCAGCAGCAGGATGGCGATCACCAGCGAGAAGTCGCGGTCGCGCCAGATGCTCATCGGCACCAGCGGGTAGGCGTACCACTTCTCCCAGAAGACGAAGGCGATCATGAACAGGGCGCCCAGGATAAGGAGGACGAGGACGTAGGGGGTCCTCCAGCCTTGCGGGGCGTCGGAGCCCAGACTTTTGGTTGTTGGTTAGTATTGAAAACAGTAAAGAAGATGAGACGGAAGAAGGAACTCACCTCAGGGCACCGGAGAACATTCCAATCCCCGCGATCGTGAGCAGCGTGCCCACGATGTCAAATTTCTTGATCGCCTGCACGGAGATCTCCGTCTTGGGCGAGTGGTCGACCGGCACGCTGAAGACGGCGACGACCACCACCACCACGTAGATGATGGCCAGCAGGAAGTAGCTGGCGCGCCAGTTGAAGAGCTGCGTCGCGATCCCCGAGAATACGCTTCCGAACACGAAACCCATCGGGTTGCCCGCGCTGAAGCACGCGAACACGCGGTTCTTCCGCTTGGACGGTCGCTGGTAAATGTTGGCCAGCATCCCTTGGCCCGGCGGGACCGAGGCCGCCGACATCAGGCCCATCACCCCGTTGAGAATGTCCAGCTGTAGCGGCGTCTTGCTGAACCCAGCTGCCAGCGAGAAGACGGCGAACAAACCCATACTCCCTAGGAACAGGGCCTTGCGACCGAAGAGATCCGCCAGGCGGCCGAAGAATAGCAGGAAGGATCCGGCGGCCAATCTGGTGGTTAGGGTTAGCGTACAATACCCTGGCTGGTGATGATTGGGGAAATGAGTGCGTACGATGAGGAACCGCTCAGCCAGGTCAATTCCGCCGTGGTCATGTTCAGATCATTCTGAACTTCGGCGGTTATCACAGTGACGGCTCCGCTGACGAGCGAGGACATGGCGATCGCCATGGTCGCCACGGCGACAAACATAATCTCCTGGACAGTGGACGAGAAGACTTCAGGGCGGGCTTCATCGTCGACTGGGCTGGTCGCAGCTATAGCGGTGGTCACCCCATCGGATTTCTCCGACGGTAGACTACCCTCTGTCGACCGCTCCATGTCGTCTCGGAGCATCACTAGAGAGTACCGAGGGGTGGGGTTGAGGGAAAGGGAAGAGCGGGTACAAGATCTTGATCTCAACCTCGAGCCATGCGGTATAAATGCCGGGTGGGAGATGGAAGTATCACCGCCATTTGGGAGAGAACTTGCCAGAGAGGAAACTGCATGATTACGCGATGGCGCGGCGAAATTTCCGCAGCGGCGTTGAGTGCAAATTTGGGGTTATTCTCGATTGGTCTTAGGGTTAATCTTGGCCCTCTGTGTCTACGCAACTTGATCTATTCACTCCGTTCCGAAGTCCGACGACGCCTACTTTGGCTGCGCTGACTCAAAATTTACAGGGATCAATGTGTAATTACTGAATGATCTGATAACAAATACTCAGCCTGTCACTCGAATTCTGCCTACAGTATCTAGGTGGCTCCAACAACTGACCGCCAATAAATCCCTGCGACTGTTCGGCTCGAGCCGCAGCTCGGGATCTGAGTTCCGAATGCGGTAACATTGACACTCCCTCTGCAAGTGTTCAATTGACTCCGTCCTGCTTATTGCTTACCTATTGAATTGCTGGCTGCAGGTAATTACTTTTCTAATCAAAAATGACCGCTCACATGCACATCTTACGTGTCCATCGGAACGGAAGTAGTTGCCCTCAATCATCTGTTCTATTGTCCTTCTGTTCGGAAACGACCCGGGTCTGGATTCTTCTTCGGGTGGAGACTGCCTCTCCACTCTTGCGGGTTCTAATTCAGCTACGATTCTTCCCACACGTTACAAATATCAATGGACGTACAATGGGAATGGAATGATCGGCTTTTTCACACAGGATCGTAGATCTCACACTTTGTCAAGTTATGTGAGAAGTCAGCAGAGGAGGCACCACCTAATTTTCACAGGCAGAGACTATCTACAATGATTCAAGTGATGACAACACTTACTTACGTCATCCGAGGTCTCGTGGCGCAATGGTAGCGCATTAGTTTCCGGTACTAGAGGTTGTGCGTTCGAGTCGCACCGGGATCGTTTTTTGTTTCCCCCCCACCTCGTGCCCAGTTCGACGTCTGTGACTGAACTTGTCGTCTACATCATGGTTTTGTGTTTTCTCTTTCCTTCTTATATCTTGCAATGTGCGTTTAATGCTACTGTGCTGACTATACACTCCGCATGTGTAATCCTCGATGGTGCAATGATCCAATCTGACAATCTCGAGACTTTCGGTTCAGGTTTTCAGCGCTTGATCAGCCTTTCCACGGCAGGTGACAAAACAGAAAATGAACTCGCTTCCCATTCTATATTCTCGATAATCAATTCCAAAACATAATACAACACACGCTTCCCAAACATGGTCAGAATCTCCTAACGCCAGCCCCTCCTTCCAACCCTCAACCGCTTTCAAAAACATCAACCACATTCCCCCTGAACTCAAGATTATGGATCTTGTCGTTCCGAAATCCACGATCCAAATGCCGCCGGCAGATCGCCTCCACGTGCTCCTCGTTTCTGAGCTCAATCTGATTTGTAGTGGGTGATCCCTCCGGAGAATCGCGTCTTGCTTGGCCTGCTTTTGACAAGCCTGGTAAATCTCCCCGGTTCGCATCCAATGCATCAGCGGGGATCTCTTCCTCGCGACTGCTGTTCTGCCTGTGTGCCTTCACGCTCTTCACCCCGTACGCGACGCTATTGACCACCAGCGCGGTACCTAGCAAGCAGCCCGTTAGCAGAACACACCGGCCCAGGACGATTCAGAGGGAAATGAGACGAACTGGTAAAAGGAAGCAGAGCGATGTTCCCGAAGAACCGGGCGGTCCCGACCCCGACGTCCTTCGCGAGGTTGGGTCGGCCCTTACCGCGGGGGTAATCGCCGCCGTCGGGCCTCGAATCCTGGGCCACCAAAGAAAATCAAGTTAGACAACAGTATCGAGATGCCATGGTTGCGTCGTGGCGTCATACCTTCTTCCGCAGCCCAGGGACCTTGCTCACCAGATCCGAGGCACTGACGATATCCTTTGCCGCGTGGGAGAATCCATTCCAGTAGTCTTTGGCGGCACGTTCGGCGGCGGGTTGCGTGGATGCGATGTTATATAGGCACCGCGTGATCCTGCGTTCTGGTCAGTGAGTGGGTCCCTCCCATAGGTGTTTAGGTTAGGGATGTGGGAAAGGCGTACAGCACGAGATCCGTAGGCTTGATGCGTTGCTCCTGCAGCAGGACGGCTGCCGCCTCCGGGGAGATTGTCTGCGACGGTCGGTTCCAGATCTGGTACATGGCCAGGTCCTGCTTGGTCATACTGCAGGGTTGGACCTGCGGAGGCAGCCAGCGGTAGAAGGACTTGATGGCGCTGGCGGCCCCGGCCTCGTCGAGGAGTTGTCGCTGGATGGCTCGGGTGGTCTGTTGAACGTCGGAACGGAGGCAGAAGGCGATTGCCTGGGCGAGGGCCTCGGAGGTGAGCTCGTTGGCGCGTAGTGGCGAGGCGGCGGCGCCAATTTTCGCGAGAGTTTGGCCGGTTGAAAGGTGGCTGGATGAGTCAGTGTCTAGAAGTTTCCTGATAAGAGTACGGGGAGTGTTACTCGTCGGTCTGTGCGATGACCACGCTTGGCTTGCCGTGCCGTAAAGCCGGTTTCGTGGTCTCTATGCCCCCGTTGTGGATGACCAGAGATACTCTTGGGAGCAGCCAGTCTGTTTGAAACGTGAGTGATTTGACAACGTGAACGTTGGGATTGTCCAACTTCGCACGGACGTGCCGGCACTCTTGAGAGACAACAATCCGAAGCCCACGATTTAGTATACTCTCTTGAATGGCTGCCACCAGCAAATCCGAGTCCACGATACTAGGGTCCCTCATTATGAGATAAATCGGTGCTGCGCCCGACGAGATGAAGTTGTCAAGATCCTTCGGTGGGTGGTCGGACTCTTCGGGTTCGTGGAAAATATAGCCGGTCATCTCTGCAGGGACGTTAACCAGTCAATTCACTCTCGTAATGGTCAGAGAGCGTAATCGCTCACCACGATTGATCGCCCAGTCCCTCGGCTTCGGAACTAGAACCATCGAGCAGAAGTACGTGTGTGGAATCTCGTGGTCCATCAGCAGCCTCCCCGCCACAGTTGGGGAAATGCTCATCAACCCGAGAACCTGTCGTCGGAATATGTTGAGGGGCTCCAAGATTCTGGTATCCTGATGTTAGTCCTCTTACCTCACTGAACAAGAATCGCTGGACTCACAAACGCCACGTCGACTCCTCAATCAACGCATAAGACAACATATTGGCAGTCAGCCGATCGATCTCCTCGTTGGGATCCAGACGCGCTCTGGGATGCGGGAAGGCTTTGGTAGGGCTCTGAGGTGTCGCGGACATGATCTGCAGCGGGATCGATAGACGTTCCGCGCAGTGAATGTGGGCATGCGCCGTTGGGGTGGCGATGATCGCGTCCGCCATAAAGGGGCGGGCGTCGTCTCGGTAGGGCGCAATGCAGGCTTGCCAGCATCGTTTGTATGCTTCGAAGAGGGAATGGCGGAGGTTGCGGACATGGTTCGCTCGGTTATCGGCTGAGTTGAGAGTCTGACCATTGGCTGTCCTGTAACTCTATACAGAGAGTCAGTCTTACTTTCTTAATCCGAGAAGGAACACCTACTCGTGGGGATGAGGTGATCGGAGGGATGGCGAAGAAGTCCAGTCCGTGACTTCGTACCCGCGATGCGTTTGAGATATCTGCGGCGATCCGGACCCGGTGGGAATCTTGCTGGAGTTGTTTTGCAATGCTTACGAACGGGTCAATGGATTCTGTCATAATGTTTTAGCATTGAGATGAGCAATGACAGGACACCCGGCGTCATTACCATCGACGACCATCACCACGATGTCTAGTGGTGGCGGCTTAGGGCTTTCTGATTGGGGTTCACCACTTGAAGTGCTACTCCCTCCAGACTCGCTGCGGTTCAACCCCACACTCACCAACCGAGCCTGCGTGCTCGGCCGCATGAACGCCTGGATGAAAGCAGACGTGCGCGACGTGATGTCCGCATTGATACTAAACTTGCTATCTTCTGATCTCAACCGTTAAACAAGCAAGACCAGGCGGCTGCAGATCAACTCACTTTCCGGCGCAAAGCAGTAGTCCAGCTCCCGTGAATCGTTGGTAAACTCAGGGGGGAAGTCCGGCTCGATGGTCCAGAGGGACGCTTCCGAGGACGCGACTGAAGCACGCGCGGGCGAATATGCAGGCGGTGGATCTGAGTAGTCATCAAAGATGCCGGTTTGTTCAATATGCAAAGATTCTTTGGAATCCATGGTGCAGCGTCTAAGGAGAGGTGTAAGTATAAGGGTTGTTGAGAGTGGAAGGATCGTTGGAAGGATTACATTCACAATTAAACAATCTAAGTTAGGCCATCATGCTTCTGTCTTTTAGCCTTTTAAGAACAACCATAGAAGTATATTAAACACCAATCAAAGTGTCATTGATTTAGCTTTTTCGATACACCGCGCATCGATTGCGGCAGGTGCCCTCAATCGAAGGCCTGGCTGTTCCAGAACGTGGCTTGGTAGTGGACCAAGAGGTGACCTCTACCATCGCCAGTAAACTCTAAATTCACTTAAGTCGTCAGATATGCGACAGAAAGGTTGAAACTGAAGTTTGAATATGGCGATCAAGTGGGTCGAAAGGTCCGCCATGCTCGGGTTCGTACTCGGGTTCGGATCTAAGCGCAGAACGGTTTTTGCACCTGTCCGCGAAATGTGACCCACATGCTCGGATCGTCCGCCTGGGACTATGAATCTGTGTATGTATGTGAAGAGCTTGTATGCTGAATCTATACGAACCCGATGAGCGGAGACAAAATGTGATTGCCTAGATCCTGGCTGAAGTCGAGATTTTATGGATGGAAAAAACTGCCAAATGGTCGTCACCGACAAGTATTGCGCTATAAATAACTGCACGTGGGACCCTATGCTAGGATATAAAAGTGCACCGACTTCTGAATATCGAAAAAAAATCATATACATCGCAATTATCATATCAGCCTTCTTTTACACATAAAGCTCAGACTTGAGCTTGATACCTTATCAGAATGTTGGCCGAAAGATCCAAGTCCACATTCGTGCTCTACGAGTACGACCCCAGCCTGCCGGCCGCAGTCATCTTCGCTGTGCTGTTCTTCTTGACCACGGCAGTCCATCTCTTCCAGCGGGTGAAAACCCACGCGAAGTACTTCAACCCGTTCACTGTAGGAGGAATCTGTAAGTGATTCGAACGATCTTTTAGGCAGATCATCAATCTTATTGAGCAACCTCCAGTCCAGATAATCGGCTATATCGCCCGCGCAGCAGCGCATTTCCACCAGACATCGACCACGCTCTACGCCATCCAGACCCTCCTGCTTCTCCTCGCACCCACTCTTTACGCCGCCTCAATCTACATGGTCCTGGCTCGAATCATCACCTTCGTGAACGCAGCAGACCTGAGCATCATCCCCGTGAAATGGTTGACCAAGGTCTTCGTGTCGGGGGACATCCTATCCTTCCTTCTCCAAGCAGCAGGCAAGTAACCCCTCCCTGTCTCCCTCCCTCCCTCCCATCCATCCGACCCCACCTATTCTAACACTGAAGACAAAACAGGCGGCGGAATCATGTCCGGCGGCTCCGCGAGCGGCATGAAGATCGGGCAATGGGTCATCGTCGGCGGTCTCTGCGTGCAGCTAATCTTCTTCGGCGCCTTCCTGCTCGCCTCCCTCACCTTCCACCGGCGCATCGCCAGCCACCCGACCGCGGAGTCATACAAGGCCACGGATCGCGGGAGCGGCAGCTGCTGGCCGCGTGACTGGCGCGGTCTGCTCTTCGCGTGTTACCTCGTTAGCGGGCTCATCCTGGTGCGGTCGGTGTACCGGCTGATCGAGTTTGCGCAGGGCAACAGCGGGTACGTCATCAGCCAGGAGGCGTTCCTGTATGTGCTGGATGCGACGATGATGTTCCTGGTGATGGTGGTGATGAACCTGTTTCATCCGTCGGTGGTGCTGCAGAGCGGTGTGAGGTCGGAGGAGGTCGGGCTGCAGCTTGAGCGGCGGGGGTCGCCTGCGTCGGTATAAATGCGTTGTTCTAGTCGAAGTTATTCTGAGGTTTCCTTCTTACATGCATATTGCGACTTTTGTTTCAGTGGTTTTGTGTGGGCTGTTTGGTTGATAGACTGTTTTGAATCCTGAATTGTGAATGCTGTTGATTTTATTCTGCCGAGCTATTGCTTCATCACCTCCCGGGTTGCTTAGTTAAATGGGATTTTCCCGGAATTGTATCATTCAAGTCTCTCTTATTGCCGAAAAGTGGTTGCCATTGTTTCTTGGATCGTGTAGGGATAGTGAAGGGCTATGCGGATTTCATGCCAAGCCTTGGAAACGTTGAATGTCCGTAGAACTGCATTATTTAGATGCGTCTGTACTTCAGAAGACAAGATAGACCGATTAAGAGACCCCGCATCAGGCCTCTCAGAAGCTCCTTTTTACTGAATTCACGCCGGTAATAGAGCTTTTAACCGTGTTGAGCAACAAGTTTAGCATTCAGAATACAACCCAGTGAATGATTTAGATCCTATCAGAGTACTAGGAACCGTATAAGAAACTACTCAGATGAAAGAGTCCAAGTTCTCGAAACTACAATTTTGTTGAGATAAATGTATCATATATTGTTCTGACTTCCCTTCAATCACTAAGAAAAGGTCTTGGCAAAGAGAAGCTAAGTTGGGCGGAGGGATATTTGACCAATCAAATTTAAGGTTGAATTGACCCGGCACTGCGTCTGCCGTGTTTGCCGTGTTTGCACCCGGCAAGAGGAGTTTAGCGTGCGCCAAGAATAGCTCAGCAATCCAGGCTTCCACCATAACAGCCTCATTCAAAGAGGCTTGTTTTCACGCCAGAAGAATTTGGATGCCTGGGACATCTCTCGATCTATTGTAGTAGCATACATGGTATCAAAAAGGTCTCCGAATAGGCAGCCATGGCAGTTAAAACTGCGCAGCAAGGCGACTCGGGCGAGATGTCTCGGCAGTTGAAAATAAGAACAGGGTCGGTCCACTTGACCCAGGGACAAGGAAAAAGGACTTTGATCCTTGCCTCAACTTTAAAACTTGCATGATCAGGCGAAATGTCTGGGCTGCGATGACTAGTACTATCATATCTCACACTGCTACGTGACTTGGCTCTTCTATAGTGCGGTGGTGGCAGGTGCCCAGCAAATTCTGATTGAACTTGTTCACGTTGTGAAAACGGGGCTGGAGCAAATCAAGCTTATCTTACCGCCGGCACTGTACGGCACTGATTCGCGCGGGGCTTTTCCAACAAACAGAAGATGTCGGCCAGCTCCACAGTCCGAGGACGCCGGTCTCATCGCAAGTCACGTAACGGGTGCCAGCAATGCAAGCACCGGAAAGTCAAGGTCGGATGCTTTCATACCTCTTCTCAGCAACGGTATCACCGGAGCAGTATGCTGACACGAACGACAGTGTGGCGAGGAAAAGCCGACGTGCGACAACTGCATGCGCCATGGCGTACGGTGTTCCTTTGCGGTTTCGACGCGAATGGCCGAAACCGCTTCCTCATTGACCGAAGCCACCTCCGCATCGAGTCGCAACTCGACCCCCAACTCCAGCGGCAGACGGAGTCCACCCGTCAGATCCCCAGATAACACAGCAACAAGCCTACCCCAGCCACCCTCCTCAAGCAGCACCTCAGACCTCGCCATCGCCGACCTCGAGCTCCTCCACCACTACACCACCTCGACCGCGTACACCTTCTCTGCCAACCCGATTCTGCAGACGCTGTGGCGCGTCGAAGTCCCCAAGATCGGCTTCACCGCCCCGTACACCCTGCGGGCAATCCTCGCGCTCTCCGCCCTACACCTAGCGGGCCTCCGCCCCGGACACAGGCACCACTACCTTGGCCTAGCCAGCACGCACCACGACGCGGCCCTCCGCCTGGCCACCCCGGCCATCGCCCAGCTGACCCCGACCAACGCGACGCCGCTCTTCCTCTTCTCGGCGCTCTCCTCCTTCATCTGCTGCGCCAAGCCCCTCAAACTCGGCAACTTTCTGCTGTGGGAAGGCCACGAAATCGCCAACTGGCTCCTCCTCATCAAAGGCACAGGCACGATTGTCGCCGTCGCCGAGGACACCCTCAAGAGCGGACCCCTCGGTCTGCTCTTTAGCGTGCACCGCCAACCGCTGGCCTACAATTTCGATGACGCGTCCGCCACGCAGCACGCCTTCCTCGAGGACCTGCGGCAGTTCATCCTCTCCGAGTCCCAAGACGATACCCACGCGAAGGCCATCTACTCCGAAGCCATCGACCACATGAGCCACTGCTTCACCCTGTGTCGCGAGAAGGGGTGGCGGCTGGAGACGGCGGACGTGTTCATGTGGCTGCTGCGCGTGCCGCATGATTTCCTACTCGCGCTAAAGGAGTACCAGCCGCCGGCGATGGTGATCGTCGGGTATTTCTGTGTGCTCATGCACCAGCTCGAGTGGATCTGGTGCATGCGCGGCTGGGGCACGCATATCCTCTCCCAGATCTATGAGCAGGTGCCTGGTCCCGTGTATCGGGCGTGGTTGCAGTGGCCCATGGAGCAAATTGGGGTGTTGCCGGGGAGATGAGGTTTGTGTCCCTGGTGGGTGGAGAGTGGGATTGTGTTGGGGGATGGGGGAGGCGCGGCCCCAGGTGGGGTGGGGGTGGATCCCGATAGATAGGGCTGGTCTGGGCTCGTGACTTTGACTTTTATGTCGATCGGGTATATAGGTCTTTCGCATTGGGGTGCATGACACATCGGCAGAATCAAGGTATTTTCTTGTTCTTCTCTTGAGCGTGAGCATCCTTCTGTATAATGATAATGAGACCTATCTCGGAGTGATGAATGATAATAATAATGATAATATACATGCATTATATAGAGGTACGCCTACCCCCCTCTGGGTCTAGCCCTGGCTACTGAAGAAAACAAGGCCCCGAAAAGGACCTATATGTTCAACTCGCGTCGAACCAATGGCTCCGTACTGGCCTGGCTCGATACGTGCGTCCGGCGCTCGGACTGGGTGTCCGTGTCCGTCTCGGCGGAGTCGGCCATGATTTGTGTATCGGTGAGGACGGAAGGCCGTGGACGATGCAGAGGCGGGTGCGGTGGCATCCTGCACTCGGGATCCGAGGTGGCTCGCGGCTTGCGTCGCCGCAGAGTGTACATGGTCGGGAGATTGGCGGCCAACGCGGAGAGGAGCACCTCGAAGAGGGTGATGATGATGTTGATGGCGGGATTGGTGGTGGTGAAGAAGGCGCGCGAGAGACTCGCCGCGGCCACTAGAATGCCGATGGAGAAGAGTCCGATCAGGAGAAGGCGTCTGCATTCGGGGTCAGACTGGGGACTGAGAGTGGAATATGGAGACAATGAACGCACTGGGGCCAGGGTCGGTGGACCTGAACTACCCAGGGGATCGGGAGTATAATGAGGACCACGTCGCTGGAGGTGTTCTGCACAACATAGGAGTATAATGATCCTTTGGCGTTGAGGCAATGCACTGCGATCCACTTCGTTGTTAGAATCTGGCCCTGTGGGGAAGAAGGGGAGGGTCTAAGGTAGGCAACCAATCTTCTACACTTACCCGGCGGGTGTCCCGTCAGGAGGATATTATGTACTGGCCCTACGCAGGATACGCTCCAGCCGACGACCGCAAAGGCAAAGGTCAGCGTGAGCCAGCCCCAGGCCACGAGAATCCAGATGCGAGGCCACGGAAGACCACCCCAGACACGCTGGATGAAGAGAAGTACGACGGCTTTCTGACCCCAGAGACTAAAAGCAGGCACACAAATCAGAGAGGTATATCTATAAGGTGCTTGTGGGGAAGGCATACTAGATGAAATACCCGTATGTATACCCGACATACACATGCGTGATCCTTCTGGCGATGGCAAGGTCATGAGGGGTTGGCCCGCCCGGCTTCTGAAGTACACCCGACACCTTGAACTGTCCAACCACCGAGACCATGACCGTAATCACCAGGAGAGAGAACATGCACAGCATGGTCACGTAGTCACTAATGTCGAAGGGCTGACTTCGATGCTTGCGCAGCCACAGCCGAGTACCCATTACCGCTCCCGCCATCGCGGCGACGACGCACTGCAAAATGACGGAGAGGGGGGGCCCAAGAGTGAAGACCATTGTTGTGCTGCCATTCAATTAAAAAGAGAAAGGTCACATACTGCTAGAAGAGTGAAGGTTGCAAGTGAAGCTGAAGCAACATTAAGGAGTGTGCGATGTACAAGGATCCCATGAAAAGATAATATATGCTAGAACTAGTAAATATGATCTGCGCCGTTTTTTTGGGAACTGTGCTCAACCCGATATTATGGCTACGGCAGTAAGTACTGTACAGTACTTCAGGAGATCGGTGCAAAGGGTTCACCGAAGCTCTGATAACTTCGGTTCCAGGCCAAAGCTCCTTCCCTGCCAAACAAAGAATCTGAGATCATGAGCTCGCGAGCTCGAGCTTTTCCCTCTTTCGCTCGCTCAACTGCGGAGGTGGACAGCCGCTCGAGACCCCCCTCGAACCACTCCCTAACCCGGGGAAGAACAGAAGATCATCGAGCGGAACCCGAGTCCAAGCCATCCAAGCCACCACGGACAAGATTCTGATGGTCCTCAAATGACGAAAGTCAATCGCTCTAACCCACTGTCCTCTGACTCTTTCTGACTCGGAGTTGTCTTTTTCCTAGAAGCTCAACCTCGAAGACCACGGCTCGGGTGGGCCAAAGCGAAAGTCTAGCCGCCCTAACTTTGGCTCGGGCTTTCCCGATGTGGGCTACGCCAAGCGAGAGACAGACAAAGAAACGCAGCCGCCACGAGCCGTGATTCGTGATTGTGGAGTGATAGCTGTTGCTCGATGGTTTGGGACCGAGCTGAACTTATGTCATGACTCCTCCTCACCGCGGTTGCGGGTTTGCGGGTTCCAGATCAAGCTCGACCCAAGCAGGCGGTACCCAAGCTATGGGAGCACTTTGGCTCGCACTCAGAGGTTCATATAACTACACTATCATGTCATGCGACTGAGGTCACGACCATTTCAGTCAGTCAAACTTATGATAGAGGTGTGATGATCCATTGGAGAGACGCACTGAGTCGAATCATGGGTCTAGGTCGCATGCTGATCTACCGCGCCGAGGTTAACTGATCTCATGTTAGACCGAGAATCGTGCAGTCATTAATCTGCTGTGACTGGAGACTACACAAGCAGAGTATACACATCAGAAAAAAACCCCCTGTCCCTGTTTCCGACTGTTTCCACCCGCGCTATACACCTTCCATTCGACAGATGTTAGCGACTCCAACTCAACAAGGTTCAGATACACCCCAATAACTACGCAAATGCAACCGTTCCTACGGGCCAAGCCATCCGGGAAAAGGGGCATGCTGCCTGCCCTGATGTGCGTGGCCTCTTCGTTAACACCTTCCTGTCAGGTCCCGAGGAGATAACCAGCAATTCCCTGGCCATCGCGCACTTGGCGCGTCTATCGTGATCACGTCGAACATGTTTTGAGATCTGCACGCAGGTTTCAGCCTCGGTGTATCCGAACTCAAAACTCGTAGATGCTTTGTTTTTGGCATGGGCTTCTCATCGGCGTAGTGAGAAGTGTGCGTCCGATCCCCCCGAATCGGACTGGTGCAGTAACTCCTCCTTCGCGCAGAGAACCACTCGATCGTCGACTGCCGGCGCATGGACGTCTGAGCCGCGGAAGACACCCACCTTTTTCCGTCCACACAGCGCCCTTGCCCCCTCAAACTCATGGTCTGTGATACCGCTCACCTTTCAACCTGCATGCCCGATCACAGAAGGACCTTTCGGCCGGATAGCCTGGTGGAATGTGAGACCTGGAATGACCGGCTTTGAGTAGAAACCAACCCACCCATCATCAGCCAAATCGATAACTACAGTTGATTCGTAAAACCCCCCCTTCCCCACCCCTCCGTCCCCTCCTCTCTCCCTCCGTAAAGTCTGCTGTGACTCCGGATCGCGTCCGTGCGGTGATCCTTCGCACCGAGCGTGCATGAGCCAAGGATCCATATCGGTTTCGACCATCCAGAGAGAATTGTTGGTGGGAAGTGGGGCTGGTTCGTCGTGGAGGTACAGAAGTTTGAAGGTTCATCTCAACTACAACCACAATCACATAGTAATATGCTATTGGTGATGAGATGTGATAGCGGGAGGTTGATCGAGGGCAAAGCTTGAGTGCTGGGAATATTACCCTTTTCGTAGGGGAAGGACCTTTTATGCTCGCTGGGAGAGATTAAGCGCCAGATTCGCGATTCTGACCTTTTTCGTGCTGTTGGGGGTCTATTGTGCTATTTTGTGGTCGTTCCATGTCGCCGGCGATGGAAAGGGGGTGTCGATCGCTTTCGTTGATGTGGAGGAAAGATGCGAGAGTATTGACTAGTTTCCAATCTAATTCTTTGCATGGATGGTCTACTCACGCTTCTGTGCTTGGTGTTGCTGCAGGGTTGCAGCAGGATGGGAATTGGGAGACCGATGGCCTAACGACGGCCTGAGGCTGCCTGTTTCGAAGGCATCTGCGGGGAATGTGGTATGCCAAGTTCCCTCAGCCGAGCATGCGGGGATCTGACAATGCCAAGGTGAACACAAGTCCATCATGTATCGGGACCAGTGCTGAAGCTGAAACCTGCACGGAGTCGAACCCTTGTAGGGACTGTCCAAGCTCAATCAATGAAGTACCTAGTTTTGACCACTGTGAACCCTCAAGCTCAAGCGAACTGGATTGATAAGCACCGCGAATCGTTGGCAAGGATGATTTCACAAATTAGGTAGCGATGCGATGCCCATAGCGATGGTATATCCGCTTTCGCATCGCGTTGCCGCCTCTGGAATCCGCCAGTGTTGACCAGGAACAGTAGTTCAGGTTACGAATCACACCTCGTCAACTAGAGATCAATATGGCCCTCAAACTCTACGGATCGGCCATGTCAATCGCCCGCGTCCTGGTCACGCTCTATGAGAAACCACTGCCATTCGAATTTATCCGTGTCAATATCGCCCAGGGGGAACACATAACCACAGAAAACAAGAAGATGCAGCCGTTCGGCAAAGTGCCTGTGCTGGAAGACGAGGAGTTCCGAATTTGAGAGTCGAGCAAGTATTTCGCTCGGTGAGTCGTTCTTTTTTCCTGGTTATCGTGCATGTAGATAGGTTCTCATTTGTCGGGATAGACGATATACCTCTGGGCGGAGTTGATTCCCGCCGAAGAGACTATAAAGCGTACGGGCGCTTCGAGCAAGCCTGCACCATCGAACAGAGCTATTTCGCGGCGGCGGCCGAGACCCTAAGGACCGAGCTGGTGATTGAACGGTATGGTTGAACATTGGGGTCCAGATGCGGTTCACGAGAAGGCAGGTTGCCGAGACTACAGCAATGCTAGGGCCAAGGGACTGAGTCCTCCAGACCAGGCGCGAGTCCGTCAAGCCGAGGCGGACTTGGATCATGTCTTCGCGGTCTATGAGGAGATTCTGGGACGACAGAAGTATCTAGCAGGAGATGAACTCACCCTGGCTGACCTGTTTCACTTGCCGTTGGCATCGACTCTGAAGGCCTTTGGATATCAGGCAGTGTTTGAGCGGTATCCGAGTGTGGACAGGTGGTTCAAGGGCCTGCAAGGGCCTGCAGGAGCGGGAGAGCTGGGTCAAAGCTTCTGCACTGGCAGGATAAAAATGAACCAGCATTGTGTTAGTCAATGACAAGGCAGTCTCCGACCGGAACTGAGCGATGATACGCTTATCGGAGGGCTTATCGGCCACCGTCGGAGCTCCATTCACGTGATTGTGTGCATGTAAACAATGACTCAGCCAGTCTGGAGATCGTTTGGAAAGTGACATGTAACACCTATCTCAAAGTGCTTTTGTTTTTGCGTTCATCGAAGTAGAGAGGTACGAGATAATGCTCACTATATAGCTGCACTATTGGAAATAGAACATGTGCAGGAAGGGCCAAAGGCAGTTCACCGACTGATAACGCACTTTCGACCCACAGTCACGCCAGCGGTGCGGGCAGTCTTATAACTATTCCCCGCCCTACACTCCCACCGCAATCAAGGGGGTCGAATTCTCCACCATCTGTGGCACCGCATCATGACTTCCAAGGGCAGTCTCCAGGGCTATCCTGGCCCAGTGATTCACGAGCCAGCTCGTCCACCACGCCGCCGATTCCTGAGACGCTGGCGACGATCCATTGGAGGTGTTGCGTTGGTCGCAACGCTGCTGCTGGTCTCCGTCAGGTCCCCTGCAGATCTACTGACTCCGACCACCTCGGCAGCGACCAAGCGAGAGTTCCACGAAGGGCTGCAGAAATGTCACGATGTGTACGATCGAGGTCTCCGAGAGCCTGTCGCATCAGCAACCAGGGTCAATCCCCGCTGGAACCCCGTCGCAGGCCAAAAAGAAGCCATCGTCATCCAGAATGCGACGCTCTTCGACGGAGAATCCACCCTCGACGACCGGGTTGATATCATCTTCGACGCCGGGGTGATCCGCTCGGTGCTCCCGACTTCGCAAAACACCCCTATCCCAGCCAACGCCCAGGTCATCGACGTCCACGGGTCATTCGTCACCCCCGGCCTGGTGGATATGCATTCGCACCATTTGCTGCTCTCCTTCCCGCAGCTCCCGGCCACCAAGGACGTCAACGAGAGCCCGCTCCTGGGCCCGCTGACCTCCTTCGTGCGTGCCGTGGATGGGTTCAATCCAGACGACCCAGCCATCAAGATCATCGCCTCCGGCGGTGTGACCTCGTCGCTGATCCCCCCGGGATCGGCAAATGTAATCGGCGGCGAAGCCTATCTAGTGAAGAACTTACCCCGACCCGGCGCAGACAGCGAGCCGATCATCGAAGAGTTGCTCCTCGACCATGGCATTCCCGAGGCGCAGCGCCAGCGGTATCTCAAGATGGCGTGTGGGGAGAACCCCCGACGGTTCTACGGACACACCCGCCTCGGTCTCGCCTGGCTGCTGCGCGAAGAACTCAACAAAGCACGAGAGCTGCACGCCCGCCAGACGGAATGGTGCCAGGCTGCATTCCAGATCGAGGAGACCAGGGTGGGGCAAAGTCAGCAGATCGCCAATTTTATCGACCGACAAGGCAAGCGACCAGAAGAATTCAAGCTCGAGACTCTGGTGGCGTTGCTGCGCGGAGAGCTCAATCTGAACGTGCACTGCTATACGCCCGACGATCTGGAGCGCATGCTTGCCGTGCTGCATGAGTTTGGAGTGCATCCTCGGGCCTTCCATCATGCGTTGTCGGCGTGGCAGGTGCCGGAATTTCTGAAACATCTCGAACGGTGAGTTACATCACCTTTAACCTTTATGTCACAGATCGAAGTGCTGATTCAGGTTGACTCGCAGAAACATCACTATTGCCACGTTCGCCGACAACGGGCTGTACAAGGCCGAGGCCTACGAGTCGAATCTGCGAGGGCCCAAGGTTCTGGACGAGCACGGTCTCCGCGTGGCCCTGAAATCGGTGAGTCCTGATGTCTATCTCTCAGTGGCGGCCATGGCTCATTGACCTGGGTGTCTAGGATCACACGGGGGAAGGCAATTATGCAAAGTACCTCCTGTAAGTGGCGCACGGGCATTGCCCCCAGCCCTAAGTTCTCGCTGACATCTGCACAGCGACCAGGCAGCAATTGCACACTCGTTCGGCCTGTCCGAGAAAAAGGCCCTGCAATCAGTGACCTCAATCCCGGCTCGCTCCATCCAGCAAGACCACCGGATCGGCTACGCACGCCCTGGCTACGACGCCGATCTCGTCATCTGGGATGACCATCCGCTGCAAGTGGGCGCCACTCCGATCGAGGTGTTCATCGACGGTCGCGCCGTGCTCGAATCACCCGCCTTACTATCAATCCAAGACAACGAGTTTGTAGCACAAGCCGCACCAGCCGTCCGACCCTCCGTCGCCACAGCCGAGCGGGACCGCGTATGCGCATCCGTGCGCGATCAAGTGTCCCACGCGAACATCCTCTTCACCGGCATCCAGCACGTCCTCCTCAACTCGACCACAAATCTCCACACAGAAGCAGCGCACGACAGAGTCCTCCTGCTCACAAACGGCCAGATCGCCTGCCTCGACACCAAGTCGACCTGTCTCGCGCAGACCACCAGTGAATCCCTCACGCAGATCGACCTCGAGAACGGATACATCACGCCCGGCCTGATCGCCTTCGGCAACAAGCTGGGCATCGAGGACATCGCCTCGGAGCCCTCCACCGGCTCCGGCAAGGACGTCAAGGGCGCGGCCGACCCGCTGAACGAGCAGAAGAGCGTGCATTTCGCCAAGTACGGCGTGCATCTGCACGGGCGCGCCTTCAGCCGGGCGCAGATCGGCGGCGTGACCAAGGCCATCACCCCACCACTGAGCGCGGGCATCATTCAAGGGGTAAGTGTGGGGGTCCGCACCCACGAGCAGGCGACGATCCTGGACGGAGGGATCTGGAAGGACGACGTGGCGCTGCACTTCACGGTGGGACAGTCGGCGAGAAGTGAGTTCCTACCTTGAAACATCTCCCCCCTTGTCGAAAACGATAGATAGCTTACGCGCGCATCCTTACAGACGACAATACCCCCACCGTCTTGTCTGGGATCGAACGGCTACGGCAGGTGTTGGAGCAGGGAGGCAGCGACGGCTCGGGGATTTACGCGCGAGCGGCGGATGGGTCTCTTCCGGTGGTTGTGCATGCTTTCCACCAGGTATGCTGCTCCGATATATTCCCCCAAAATAAGTGAAGAGGGTGCAGCTAACCCGGACAAGGACGACATCGCCCAGCTGGTCCGCATCAAGACGGACTTCCCCCGCGTCAAGCTGGTTCTCTACGGCGGCCACGGTGCCCCTCTGGTAAGACCCTCTTCCTCCCTTCCTACTTTCACTCAGAGTCAACGCTCCCCGCATGAAACACCCACCAACCTAACAACACCACAGGTCGCCCACCACCTCGCCGAAGCAGCCATTCCCGTCATCCTCACGGGCAACCGCGGGGCCCCGGACCGCTGGGAGAAGAAGGACATCCCCGTGGGCCCTCCGCTGAGCGAAAGTGCCGCGAAGACGCTCCTTGACGCCGGCGTGCAGCTCGGGCTGGCTCTCGTGGGCGACTCCGGGGTCCACGCGCTGGCCCAGCATGCTCGGGTGGCCGGGAAGCAGGCGGGGTTGACGGATGGGGAGGCGATCGCGCTGGTGTCGACGAATCTGGAGGAGATTCTGGGGCTTCGCTCGGGGCAGAGTGCGAGGGGGGAGGGGGAGGGGGAGGCGTATGTGGGGGACTTGGTGGTTTGGGAGGGAAATCCGTTGCGCGGGGAAGGGTCGGTGGTTGTTTCGGTGCTGGAGGGCGGGGAGGTCGCGGATTGTTGGCCGGATAGGGTTGGGGCTGTTTTGTAGGGTTGGCCTGGTTGAGAGGTTGTATAAGGGGCTTGGAGTTGACTTGATGCACGGTCATACGTTGCAACGCTAGACTACCTCCATGCAACTACAAAGCTATAGTTCCTGATAGCACCGCCTGGATAAGGCGATAGCCATAAACTCGAACGTGACCCCCTCAAGCCAACCCCTCCAAATCCAAGTCCAACCGCCGCACATCGCCCAACCGCTCATTCGACTCAGCCAACCCCCCATGCACGACCACACTCACACTCGACCCACTCCCCTCAAGCACATCAGCAGCAAACCACCCCCTCGCCGCCGGCTTGTCCCCCTCCCCATGAACAAACACCCACTTTCTCCCCTCCAGATCAAAAACCCAAACATCCCCGAGCATCCCCCCAGCCCCCTGATGCCCCAAAGAACTAGGATCACACTCCCCGAACATCGTCACCAAAACCCACCGCCCCAGCCTAGTTTTGGCAGCAAGCAAACACCCCACACTCCTCGCCCTCGGCCCGACCACCCCATCCGCCACAAACCCAATCGTGCTCCACACGTCCGCGACGGGATCATAAACATCCACCGCCCCGCCTTGCTCGCGCGTCCCATCGAACCCATTCATCCGGTACACCTTCCCGTCCGCGAAGGCGATCGAGGCGCCCCCGCGCGCCGGACCAGGAGCCGGAGCGCACTCGCGCCAGCCGCGGGTGGTCAGATCAAAGGCCCAGAGGTCGCGGAGGCGGCCGTCGGCCGGACAGCCGGCGTGGAGATAGATGGTGTCTGTGCCGTTGGTGGTTAGGGCGTGGTAGCTTCGGCCGACGGGGAAGGGGGCGTCCGGGTCGGAGGGGGTCAGTTGCGTCCAGACGCTGTCGGTTGAGTCGAAGACCCAAAGGGCGCCGTGCTCTTCGATCGGGGCCATGGCGGGCCCGCCGCGGCCCGAGAAGATGTAGAGTTTGTTGGCGAGGGCGGTCGAGGCGGTGCCGACTCGGGGTTGTGGGTGTGCGTGCGCGGTGGAGGTTGGGGTTGGGGTTGAGGTTGTTGGGGATGCTGGTTGGGGTTAGTTATGGGTGCTTAACATCCTGTGAGTTGATATATGAGTGGGAGCGGCATACTGGGGCTCAGAGCGAGACGGTATACGGTTGAGTCGACGGGTTCGCGGGGCCGCAGCTCGCCGCCGTAGATGTAGGCGTTGTCGCCTAGGATGGTGAGGGTTTGCGATGACCTCTGAATTGAGGTAGAGGTATCGGACAGAAGCTGGGTCCAGGTAGCGCGCACCATGATGGCTGGATCGATTGTCAGGGGTTCTGAAATGATGAGAAAAGGTGTGCCTTGACTCCTGGAATGGTGGCCGTGAAGTGGTTATATAGCCGGTGATACTTCCTGGGGCGACTTGTATGCTTGCTGGATGTGGGTCTGACTGCTCGGTACCGCCGTAAAGCTGATACGGGCGTAAAGTATGCCCCGATTGGGTTTAGAGCATTGGTCTTGGCATTGATCAGTTTGATCGACCATCGTTTTTGATGCACCCTCGATTCTCTTAGTTCATGGAAGAGGAATTCTCTCCATCCATGCCGTGCCATCCGCGTCATGTCCGCACACCACCACATCAATTGGTTGGTTGATATCCAGCAGCTTCGGTTTTGGGATGTCTTCCGGCACTGCCGGCAAAACCAACGTTACCGCCCGTCCTTGGGACCAGTATCGCGAGATATGCAAGATGATGCGCTTGGCAAGATGGGTGGGATAGTGCGAGTGCTCGAAGCCTCGTGTCTTTCGTTCCAGTTCCGGCCATACAATGCCGAGGATGTAGTCGAACAGTGTATCGGATCGCCAGAGGAAGGCCAGTTGGAGAAGGCACTCTGCCAGACTGAATGTGTAGACATCCGCCGTGCTGGAAGTCGTAAAGTCCAACGTGCTTATAAGCTGGCATGCTCTGTGCGCCAAATCATCAAGCTGGTTTGGGGTAGCTGAGGTCAGGTCGATGGGAGACGCATCAGACGTGCACGTCCCGTTGCTTTCCTCGAACATCATTTCGCAAAGGAGGCTGTATATCGCATTCATTGCCTCGCGATGGCTAGGATATACCGATTTATGGGGAGTGAAGGGCTCACGACCCGATAGTCCTTCGATAGCTGTACCAACAGCTGCATTGCAGCATGGTAGACTCTCACTCACCCGTGACCTCCACACCTCTAGCCGTTCCTTCTGAACCATCAACAAGCCCCGCAAGTGGGAGCCTCGCACAAAGCCCTCCTGTGCTTCATCATACTCGTCCGGCGGAGAACATCTCCCAAGCATCGTGTTCAGCACTCTATGCGCGACACGACCGATATCTCTCGACGACTCCTGGATCCGGTGCGTGCTGGCTACCGAGCGGAACACAATCAGCCGGGAGCGTATCTCCATAGACTTGATCAAGATATCATAAATGAGCTCGTCTGTACTCATCCCCAACACACAGCTGAGGTACAGGTGATCAGTGGGATCTGGAAAGCAGTTCGGGCCGAACGAGCTGACCCCCTCGCCCTCGAGGAGCAGCGAGGGTGGCTTCGACAGGCGATGGGAGACGCACAGCCGGTGCCACATCTGCAAAGCCCCAACCGCATCTGGGGAGTGCATGATCTGTTCCCGGCATTGTGCGATAAATCGGAGGGTGTCCCAGACTGCTAGCCGGAAATTGAGATGATTCGTCGAGGCGTGGTGATAGTAAGCGAGGAGAACGAGGGTCCTCAGAATCAAGGCTGCATTGCGTGCCACTTCGCCTGCACTCGCGGTGCGGCAGAGTTGAAGTGCGCGGTCATGGTAATTGCGTGCTTGGCGGTGATGGCGAGAATTTACCAGGGGGCTGAACACAGGGGTTTGATGATCATCCACGAGGTGACGACTCTGGACCGGTGCGTTGAGCATGGACAGGCTGGAGGCTGAGATGCAGAGAGCGGCAGCACGCAGGTAGGGGGCGTCAAAGATATCCCCCACAGACGTCATTGACAATGCCGGTAGCAGATGGCGTACATGATCCTGGAAGTGGCTCAGGTAACGGACCTCAAGGCCGTCCCCAAGATCTAGCGAAGGGGAGAGTCCAGCTACGGTGAGGTCACATAAGAGAAGGGGTTTGGCCGAGGGGTCGGATTCAGTACGAGCCTGTCTCGACGCAGCGACGGGATCTGCCGCCGCAGATGACGCGACAATCGCCTGCGTATGTCGCTGGAAGGTAGCTTGATCGGTGTGTCGGAAAGTCAAATTCACTCCGTAACTGCACTCCAGTGATAACCGAACGCAGGCGCGGCAGTGAGGTTTGGTTTCATCGCACTGACGCTACATCAGACCGACGGTTCATGGGGCACAATCACGATAGACGAACCTTTTTGCCTCTTCTTCGGCATGACTTGCACCCTGAGTGCTTCCGAATTATCTTGCTGGACCTTGTCCTAGTCGTCGTCGTACCATTGGGAGGCATGTTAGGTCCGGAGTTGGCAGCAAAGCTCTGTTTCTATGGCATCTTGCAACCTGGCAGTGGCGTGTGGGGGTAGTCAAGATTCGGAGCCAGGAACTTGGGACGTCGCCCAGGTCCTCGGTTACAGTACCAGTACGAGAAGCTGCCCTGCCACTTTCCCATTTGGGGTGTTAGATTACGCAGACTAACCTGTTCCCGACCTAGCGTGTCAATACAATACGCACGTGTGGCAACACATTCCAGTCTGCACCCTGGGATCATTCATCTTGGAAACCGGGGAGGAACATGCCTCGGAAGAATGTTTCCACGACTAGGTGAATCATGCATGAATCACAATTCCTGATCTGGCTGCCGATCGATACGATCTACCAATGCAGTGTCTAGACCATCGGCGGACGTCGCGGAAAGTCGGAGATAGTCGGGGCTAAGCCCCCCTGATCTCAGAGATACGTACTTGAGTATCTGTGCCACACAATCTAAGGGCTGGGTCACTGCCACATCTCGCCATGCGTGGTGGATGCATCATCGAGACAATTGTGAACTCAATAAAGGCCTTTCTTGGGACGAAGCCTGGTTCAATTGCCATTCATCCTCACCTCATCTTACGATCGGCCAATGATCGGCCACGAACCGTAACTGCTCTCTTACTCATCGTAGTTACAGCATGGTGAAGCCATGATGACGCCCCAGCCAGCAACAGCAGCCACAACACATCTATAAAGTCCGTCGAGTCAGGACCTCGTTCATTTGTATCATCAATAGAAATTGAACAATATATTAATTCACTCAACAAACTAACTTCAACTTTCCGAACAAATCCTGAGTACATCTTTCCTATTGAACCATCACAAACCTATATACCTTCATCATGCAGAACGAATACGGACAGGGCATCTCTCACGCCACCGGTGGCTCCAGAGTCCCCGACAAAGTCCAGCAGCAAGCTCCCCAAGGTCTCGAAGAGTCCTTGCCCAACAAAGTATGGCCGCTATTTCCCCATGTTTCTCTTTGTCCTGTTAGACCGGTGACTGACATTTTTAAACCAGCTCCACGACACCGGCTCCGGAACTGGTCGCCAGACTCACGCTCTCAACGACGGTGAAGATTCCATTGTCCCCAAGGGCATCCAGAAGGCTGTCCCCGAGAAGCTCGAGCGCGCACTGCCCAACAAGATTCACAACACTGGCGATGAATAGATAATCTTTCATAGCGGAACGTCTTGACGATACACAAGCATATTTTCTTGATGGTGAAATGATTTATGTCATGTTGTACTGAATGTTATGAAATGTGAAATAATGGAATTCTGATTTGAATATTTGTGCAAGGCTTCAGTTTCATTCAAAAGACATTTTCCATTCCAAATTATGTAGACCCATTTGCAAGAGATGCTTTCCCATATCAAGCATCCTTGACACATGATGAACAATAGGACCCTAGTTGTAAGCTCGATCCTTGAGTTAGCGGGTCTAAACTGGAGGTGTATCCACTCAAGGGATATAAGGAGATTGTCAGACAGATCCCGATGGTGAGTAGCGTTAGCTTCCATCCATCTAGGTACTGATTTTCCTCGGGTTTAGCTGCATCGATAGTTGAGGACATTGTGGACGGACTGCAAGCTGCAGGTGAGTATCGATTGCAGTTGTAAAAATGCTGAGTAGGCAGTGAGACTACGAATGCTGGAGAGAGAGGGTCACATCTGGTGTGTCTATTTTCCCACCCCTTCGCGCGACGCGTAGCTTATAGTTGGACAGCCCTAGAGCCACCCCGAGCATCAAAGACAAGGTGACACAAGGCTGGCCGATCTTAGGGCAAGGTTACGAACATCAGCGATTCGGGAGGGGGTTGAATTCACCCAAAACGGTCAGCGAGTCACTGTCAATCACTTTTCCCAACAGCTCTCGGACAGAACTCGCGTTTCTCAATGGAGTGATGATTAGATATGAACTACCCTGTTACGCTTCACTTGTGTTCCGGCAGGAGCATCACTAGCAAACATGGCTGTCTGACTTTAAAAGTGATTCAAAAACAAGCTCCTAACAAGGTCTTCAAGGTGCACTAAAAGTACAATCGCTTCGCAGCAGCCGTGAAGTTAGCTAGTAAGTTTTACTGGTGTCGTTGGCAGATCCCAGGAAAGTGGCCTAGGATCCGTGATTTTGTGGACACACTCTACATCCGCTTCTAACTTTACTCGAGCGCCGGAGATATATCATCCTCTGTTGCCTCTGGTCGGATAAATAGACCACTAAGCGAACACCTTGTCAGAAGTCGGGCATATTTCAAGAGTCTATATAGAAGGATAGATTTATCCCTTACCGTTCCGTCAAAAGTACTTTACGAGGTTCGTGGAGGCTGTGAGGACCGATGAGATGTTGCTGTCAAGCATTACAAGCATCAGCCACAGCATTGTGGCTTAAAGCCTTATCAGTTCAGATAATGGTTGCCTACCATGGGACGGAGTAGAATCAGCGAATAGGCACAGCATCCTCAAGCCACTCGGAGTAGATTAATCTTCGACGCTGCTTTCACTGGCCACAGGCGCCATCGGAGTCCGATGCTTACCCTTCATCCTGCGCCCAAGCACAAATCCTTCGCCATGATGGGGGATATGATGACAGGTGAGTCAATCATATAAAGATTGCTGGCTTCTGCCATGAAAGCTTAGTGGTTCTGGTCAGGCCTGGCGACTGTCAGCAACCACTGCTGCTCGAATATGGCGTCGTTGTCGACACAATGCACGAGTGCCAGCGATGCTGTGTTTGGCCCGCGGGTCAGCGTCGCCTGTCGCTCGTTTGACTTTACGCTATATTTTGAAGATGTGATGTTCGCGTGCCTGCCCGCGGCTCTTTTCCTGTTGCTTCTTGCGATCTCGGTCTGGCAGCTTTGGCACGAGCCTCGTCGCACCAAGAGGTCTGCCCTGTTGGCTTCCAAGCTAGTATGCCGATTAGCACTGTTTCTACGATACAAAGTAGATACTAACATGCTCAGTTAACACTTGGGGCACTATTTGTTGTCCAAATTGCGTTCTTAGCTCTCCGTCAGTCGCAACCTCTAACCCCCGCGCACGATGCCTCGCTCGCCGCGGATGTGTTAGAAGTGGTGGCCATCGCCAGTGCGATCTGGCTGTCCTACTTGAGCCACTGTCGCTCTATCCAGCCCTCTACGTTGCTGATTGTCTATCTCTCCGCTCGCACCCTGCTGGCGATCGCCCGGGTGCGGACGCTGTGGCTCATGCGCGCCGCCACGGCAGACGCCGCCATCTTCACCGTGGAGATCAGCTTCACCTTCCTATCCTTGATCCTGGAATCGATCGAGAAAGCATCAATTCTTACCGAGAAAGCCGCGAGGCCCGCCACGCCGGAGCCGTTCAGTGGGTTCTGGAAGCTTGCGAGCTTCGCCTGGCTGGCGGGAACCTTCCGCCAGGGCTACACCAAGGTCCTTTCAGTCCACGACCTGCCTGATCTCGATCCTCAGCTGAGGAGTGAGGTCGTGGGTAAACAGCTTCAAGATGCCTGGTCGCAAACTGGTAATGTCGTCACCTTGTTTTCTGGGGCTTCGTGTCTGTTCTAACTTGGACATGCTCTCGGGCTGATAGGAAACAAAACCGCAAAGTATGCCTTGCTCCGCACCTCGACGCGAGCCTACCTGAGCGCACTGCTCGCAGCGGTCATTCCTCGCCTGCTGCTGACGGGATTCACCTTCTGCCAGCCCTTTCTGGTGGATGCGACCGTGACATGGGTCGGGAACCGGGACGCGGCCCTGGACTCGGGCAAAGGGCTGATCGCGGCGTTTGCGATCGTGTACACCGGCATGGCGGTAGGTTACGTACCTGCATGGGTTGAAAGTACATGTTTCTCTGCAGAATGCTTGGGCTGATATTGTTTGATGAAGGTATTCACAGCACTATCCGGCTACCACACCTTCCGCTTCACCGTCCGTCTCCGCGCCGGACTGATCTCCCTCGTCCACCACCAAACCGTGCGAACCAGGGCGGTCGATCTTGGGGAGATTACCGGAGTGACCCTGATGGGAACTGATGTCGAGCGGATCACATCGGGCTTCTTCTCCATCCACGATTTGTGGGCCTGCTTGATCGACATCGCGGTCGCCATCTTTTTACTCGCCAGGCAACTGGGAGTTGCGAGTGTTGTTCCAGTGGTGATGGTCGTGGGTATGTGGACCCCCAGTACCCTTTTCAAAAGACGGCAAGGCATCCATAGTAACGAAAGCCAGTCTTCTTTGGCTGCACGTTCAAGCTCTCGGCGTCCAGCAACACCGCTCAACGCGTCTGGATCGAAAAAGTGGAAGACCGGATCCGATTCACTTCGTATGCGCTGGAGAACATCAAGTCGGTCAAGATGCTCGGACTCTCACCGAGAATGTCTGCAATCATCGGGGGGTTGCGGTATGCCGAAGTGGCTGCTTCGACGGTGTTTCGGAAGCTGCTGATCGGGAGTGTGGTGCTGTGTATGTCGCAAACTCTCAGTTTTGAGAACCCGCAGGAAATGCTGACAAGACCCCGTTATCTGAACAGCGAATTCACCTGCTAATTTGGCGCCGATGGCGACATTCACACTATATGTGATCATCGCCCTCGTCAAGCACAATAACTCCATCCTCGCTGCGAAAGCCTTCACCTCTCTCTCGTTGATATCGCTGCTGACGACCCCAGTCTTGACCTTCATCCAGTCGGTCCCATCTGTGGTGGAATGTCTGGGTTGTTTTGATCGGATCCAGGAGTATTGCAGCAAGTCACCGAGGCCAGATGAGTCTGAGGCGCAGCACGAACACGACGGTATCCCCCTAAGCTCACTGAAAACGGAAGCATCAGAGCAGAACGGGAGCGCAGTCGAGTTCGCCGGGCAAAGCTTCGCCTGGGGCCAAACAACTGCCCCCGTGCTACAGGAAATCCATCTGAAATTCCCACGTGGCGCCATAACCATGGTAGTCGGCCCGATCGGTAGCGGGAAAACGACACTGATCGAGAGTATACTGGGCGAGACAGTACTCGCAGGCGAGGAAGTCACCAGAAACCATGGTTGCATCGCCTACTGCGCCCAGACCCCATGGCTGCAAAGCCAGACCATCCGTGAGAACATCCTTGGGTCAAGTCTGATGGACTCCGCCTGGTACGAGACGGTGATTAGGGCCTGCGGGCTCGAGAAAGACATGGCGCGTCTGCCACGCCGAGATCAGACGCCAGTTGTCAGTAATGGACTGACCCTGAGTGGAGGGCAGAAACAACGCATTGTAGGTGGCTCCCAGCCATTATTTACCAATAGCATCGTCACTGATATTGTTTCGATAGGCGTTGGCGCGAGCACTGTACGCCCGACCTCGAGTTGTTCTGCTGGATGACATCTTCAGTGGCATCGATGCTACAGCAACGGAGAACATTGCACGCAGCTTGTTCGGCGACAGCGGGCTGTTTCGTGCATTTGAGACGACGGTCGTGCTTGCGACGCATTCGGGTATAGTACCTGGAGTTCTGACAGCGGATGGACCTGTACCCGGACTGACCAACTACTGTTATAGGCTTCCTTCTTCAATTCGCAGATACAGTTGTCGTGCTGCGGGAAGGCCGGGTTATCGAAGCTGGTGTCCTTGACGCTCTGAAGCAAAGTAGTGACTTTGTGCGCCACCTCAAGGTAACAGTATCCGAAGTTTCTGGTAGCGAGAGTGAGTCAAGCAGCGACTCCGAGCAGCTTGAACATGTAGACAAGCACGACACCAATTCAGAAGCTCTCGACTCGGCCGATGAAGACGCCACAGACGATCAGAGCCGCCAGACTGGAGACTTTGCGGTCTACGCTTACTACGCCACTGCTGCCGGGCGCCTGAATATCGTTTTGTCGCTGGTTTTTGCTTTCATGTGGGCCTTCTGCAATGAGTTTTCCAGTAAGTTGAAGGATGGGTTCTGCATTGTCCGAAGAGGTTTCGCTGACATGAGTCCATAGCTGTGTGGGTGAACTGGTGGACAGCGGCGAACGAGAAGAGTGCCAACTCGAACGTGGGCATGTATCTGGGGGTTTATATCTTCTTTGGGCTGTCAGGGGCTATCTTGCTGGTTGCCACTTGCTGGTATGCGGTATCCCACATCAAGCTGTTACAAACTGTCTAACATGTGAACAGGATCACCATTGTGACCATAATCTCCCGCTCAGCAATCAAACTGCACGACAACGTCTTAACCAGCACGTTCCGTGCCTCCTTCCAATTCTTCCACAATGCAGACATTGGCAGCATCACCAACAGGTCAGAGCCAGCACCAGCACCAGCACCAGCATAGCTGTTCCCGAGCTAACCACCCTTGCACGTCACAGATTCAGCCAAGACATGGACCTGATCGACATGCGCCTCCCTGTCGAAGCTCTCAACGTGATCGCAAGTAAGCCATCCACCCTTCCAGCCCTGCATTGCCTCCCTCCCTCCCCACAGTCTAACCCCACGAAACAGTGTTGTCCACCTGCCTGGTCAAACTGGTCATTCTAGCCATCTTCGCCAAATACCTCGCCGCGGCGATCCCCTTCGCGGCCGCGATCGTCTACATGACCCAGAAATTCTACCTGCGGACCTCGCGCCAGCTGCGGTTCCTCGACATCGAGGCCAAGGCGCCACTGTACACGCACTTCCTGGAGCTGGTCAGCGGGGCGGCGACGGTGCGCGCGTTCACGTGGCAGCGGCGGTTCGACGCGGCGTGCACGGCGCTGCTCAACACCTCGCAGCGGCCCGTCTACCTGCTGTACTGCGTGCAGCAGTGCCTCGGCTTCGTGCTGGACATCCTGGTGACGATTCTCGCCGTCATCCTCGTCGCGACCGTGGTCTTCCTGCGGGAGCGGTTCAATCCCGGCGAGGTCGGCGTCGCGCTGGTCATCGTCATGACCTTCAATCAGGCGCTGATGCTGCTGGTCAAATACTGGACGCAGATGGAGACCTCGATCGGGGCGGTGTCGCGCGTCAAGGCTTACGCCTCCACCACCGAGCCCGAGGAGCGGCACCCGGAGCTCCTGCCCGCGCTGCCGGCGCTGTGGCCCCATGCCGGGCCAATCCAGCTGCGCGATGTGGTGGCTAGCCATTCGTGCGTCACTCACTTCCATATAAACATAAGGAATATGATTGCTAATGCGACCTACAGACAGAACTCCACCCCCGTGCTCAAGGGCATCAGCATGTCCGTGCGCGCCGGCGAGAAGGTAGCCATCTGCGGCCCCTCGGGCAGCGGCAAGACGAGCCTCATCCTGGCGCTGTTGCGCATGGTCGAGATCCAGGAGGGATCCGTGCGGATTGACGGCCACGACCTGGTCGCTTACCCGCGGGAGGAGATCCGCGCGAACCTGACCGTGATCACGCAGGAGCCGTTCCTGATGACGGGCACCGTGCGGTTCAACATCGACCCGGTCGGCGGCGCGGCGGACGAGGCGATCATCACCGCCCTGCAGCGGCTGCGGCTGTGGGAGCGCATCGAGCGCGAGGGCGGGCTGGAGATGGCGATGAAGCCGACCTCGTGGTCGTTGGGCCAGCGGCAGCTGCTGTGTCTGGCGCGGGCGATGGTGCGCAAGAGTCGGGTGTTGATTCTCGATGAAGCGACCAGCAGGTATGTTTTTTCCCCTTGGGTTTGTTTTATGGGTGCTTGGACTGAACAGCGTGTAGTGTGGATCATGAGACGGAGGATATCATGCAGGAGGTCATTGAGACGGAGTTCGCGTCTCACACGGTGCTGGCGGTGATGCATCGCCTGCGGTTGATTCATCGGTATGATCGGATCGCGGTGTTGAATGCGGGTGCGTTGGTGGAGCTGGATAGTCCTGCTGCTCTGTTGGGTCGCGATACTTTGTTTCGACAGCTTTACCAGTCTGGACACGGTGGCAGAAGTCATTGATGAGGAGTGGTGAAGAGTCTTTCCTATGGTCGAGATATAATGATATACACGAAGACACGATGCTATACACAGAAGAATAATACTATACACATGCGAGCCAGACAACCTCACTCCTCGCGCCGAACACGGATCGCGTAAGAAAGCTCCTCACTCCCTCCCTGCAGGGTATACACATCAAAGCTCTCCGGATAATCGTTCCGATGCTGGTAAAGCTTCAGCCCCGGCGGACACGAGACCAGCTTCTCCAGGGCCTTAACCACCTCCCACGCCCAATTAATTTCCGCACCCAACTCCCTCGCCAGCATATTACAGCGCACCATAATCTGCCAGCAGCGGTGCAGATACCGCCGCAGCTGCCTGCAATTCCGCTCGTGGAGCGGATCATGCGGCACGAGCAGCCGCGATCGGGGCTCCTTGTTGCCCTCGTCGCTCAAGGTAGTCATCTCCGCCACCCAGTCGTCGGGCACGCCGCGCTCGCGGAGATAGGCCTCGACGCGCGCTGTATCCTCTTGACTCGAACGGAAGCCCGCTTTGTCAGACGTGAGGAATAACTGGAAGGGCAGCTCGCCGTACGTGAAGCAATCCTCCTCCTTGGCCTCCGCGAGAATGGCCAGTAACGCGTCCACGGAGACATCCTCGTGCTGCTCCCACAGCCGCCTGAGGCGGGCGCGTCGTGCCTCCTCGTCTCGTGCGTGGAGCTGATCGTAGAACGGCTCTCTCTGGTCCTGGATCCGCACCTGGCTCGCGAAGCCGGACTGCGGCTCCAGGCCCAGAAACTGGCGGTGCGGGTACCGCGACATCTCCGTCGTTTGCCAGAGGTCCGTCCACTTGTCGACCGGGCGCTGGCACATCCTCGTGGTGCGGTAGTCGTGCGCATAGCTCTTGTTCCCGTCTGCATGTTTCGACGCCGAAGAGGAAGAAGAGTTTAACTCCGGGAAGCAGTAGAGAGTATTTAACGTCAGGTACATCTCCAGCGCGGCGTCGAAGACCGGGCCCCACCCGTGGTCTATCTCACACTGCCTCAGTTAGTCATGATGATAATCAACTGGAGTTGTACAACACACAATTCAAATTGGAAACCACCAGCCAATCGCACGAAGGGAAATGAAAATGGGAGGGAAGCTGAGGTACTCACTAGTTCGACACATCTACAATCCTGCACGCGCATCCACTCCTTCAGCCCGATGTCGGGATGCGCGCACAGCCGGAAAAGGATCTCCATCTCCCCGAGCACGAGCAGGGTGCTGACGACCTGCAGGTTGAAGAACCCGTCGCCGTTAACCTCTGCGAACTGGAAACAGTAGTTCCATTGGTAGGGCCGGAGGAAGGCAGCTGCCCGGCGTTCGGTGTAGGGGAGCGGACAGCCGCAGGCAAAGTCGGTGGTGCTGTCGATGTGCTGGCATAGCTGCTGCGTCTTTTGAACGTTATCTCTCTCGGGGTAGTGCCAGCTAAAGGTGAGGGGGTGGATGCGCGCGGCTAGGCGGTCGTTTAGGAGGAGTTCGTCGCGCGCCGGGGGGAGGTATTTTGGGGCGTACTGTTGCCGCGCGGCAGTTGTGTCCTCGTTGAGGGCGCGGGCGAAGGAGGTGGCGAAGTGGCCTAGATCCTGGGCTTGGGTGGGGATGAAGCGGAAGAAGAGGTTGGCGATGGTGGTGTCGGGGCTGGTGTGGGTTGGGGCGCGGTGGATGAGTTGCGAGGTTAGGCTGCGCCAGGGGATACGGTGGGCGCGGTGGGCCATGGGGGATGGGAAGCTTGAAGTTTGGAAGACTTGATCAATAAAGCTAGCTGTCTGAACTTACCTTATAACTCAAGGAAATGACCCTGAGCGAGGGGCACAAACTACGGAGGCATAGTAAGACCTCAATCACTAGCAAATTCATTCCGGTGGTAGGAGGTGATAAAGTCGCCTTTCTTCTTTAGGACATTTGGCTTGAATTAGTACTGCTACTTTCCCTGATCAGTCTAGAATAGCTTTAGATCCAATCTAAAAGAAAGAAAGCTGACCGTCGGACTCCGGATGGGGCCAGGGTCCTTCGGAGCTTACCGGGACACTGTCCTTCCTGGGCTCAGCCGAAGTTCCTGCATCACGAGACCTGGACCCCTAGTCTCGTCTTAGGGCTTTAGGGCTACAAATATTATCTAAAAACTGGCTCATAGTCGTAGGTATCTAGGTGAGATGTCCTGAGTTGGTAAGGGATCTGACCTACTAAGATTAGGGACAAGTTTGCATGGTTTTAGCTAATGAGAATCATTCATACGAATAATCAGACTGCAAGATTCCTAGGTGCTCTCTACTCCGTAACTTATGGGATTTGTCTCCATCTGCCATACGTCAGTCAGGTGTACTGCGCTCGTGCTATAAAATAATTCCTTGCCACCTGCTAGGCAGCCCTGCAGGGGGAGAATCCGTGCGGCTATTGCGGGACCGCCGTGCTGTACCTATGGAGTACGGAGGGATATTTGAAAACCATATACCAATAGGTAGCGCTCCAATCCTTTTCATCCAGTTAATGGTCACTTCACATGCTCAGATTGGTTTTGTTGGTGCTGGGAAGTAAGTAGAGTTTGTTCGAGCTAGGTGCTGTGACCTTTATAGGCATATGAATGTGATAGATAGAAGGAGGCGACTTCTTATTCATCTGCTTCGATTTGGTTCCTCCCTCTCGTTGGTCCTACGTGATAATACAGGGACGAGAAAGAGGGATACAGGGACAGACAGAGAATAAAGACAGTCTCTTGACTTGGGAGTAAACTTTCTGGTAAACACTCGAGACTAGAGGCTGGCTAGTAGAGGTCAAATGTAACCCAACTGGTTAACACAATTAAGCGAAGCAACGGATCGACAAGGAAGACAGTGTTAGTTTCCTTGGCACCCGTAGTGCTTATTTTCCAAGCACACTATTGCATCCCCGATCAGGGGCACTCAGACAGTCAATGATACCTCCAAGTACGCTGAAAGAGACGGCGGCATCAGTCGCAAATTCTCGTCGCAGACGATGATCTCCTTGATTGTTCTAAGGGCTGACGCCACGAAGACCTCGTTGTTTGCTGGATGCCATCAGTAGTCTATGTACAATGGCTCGATGTAGCACCACAGACCGAGATCTTCGCTGAAGAACAAGACTGCGTTTACGATAACCGAAGGTTTGCGAACTACTTACTGTGCAGAGGACTGACAAGATTCCAGGCGGATGTTTTTCTCATCATGTGTGAACGATGATTGTAGAATGTGGAAGCTTCCCCCACCGCTTACCACTGGGGCTTGAAAGTGAGCTTCACGAAGCGCGGTTTCCAAGAATGACCTTGAGCTTCGACAAGATATGGTGGAAGTTGCTAGTCAATAGCATGCGACGCCTTCGGTGCCCACCACGGTTTACAACAAACACTTGATCGAATTGGAGACCTCTTAAGATCTTCTCTCCAGCCACTAACCCAAAACCGCATAGTGCAGATCGCAATCCCGACAGATTTCGGTGTTGAACAATAGTATCGGACATGGACAGACAGTGTATTAACATCAAACAGTATATAAAACAAAGACAATTCCAACCCAAACCCAGAACCATCATCTCACCATATTCCTACTACAATACACCCCGCCCCAAAATGCCCCCCAACCCCATCCCGACAACCTTCCTCTCACGCAACAATCTCCACCTAGCCGCCCATCTGTACCCGCCCTGCCGCAATGCCCCCTCCCGCGCCGGCGCCGCCATCATAATCGCCCACCCGTGGACTTCCATCAAAGAACAATCCCCGGCCAACTACGCCCGCTACCTCTCCGCCGCCGGCTTCACCTGTCTAGCCTACGACGCCGCCCACCACGGCGAATCCCCCGGCCACCCCCGCCACCTGGAAGACCCCTACCAGCGCGTCGAGGAGATCAAGAACGCAGCCACCCACCTAGCCACCAACCTTTCCGACTCTGTCGACCCCCACCGCATCGGCGTTCTAGGCATCTGCGCCGCAGGCGGATACGCCGCCTTCGCCGCGCAGACGGACCTGCGACTCCGGGCCGTGGCGACCATCTCCGCAGCGTGCGTGGGGGAGTTAGTCCGGCGCGGGGGGTCTTTATCCAAAGACACCGTCACCCCGGAAATCCTGCAGACGCAACTTGCGCTAGCAGCAAAGGACCGCACTGCCATGGACCTGCACCTCTCCAACCGAGCAGAAGGAAATGTAGATGAGGATGAAGATGTAGGTCTGGTGAGGATGCTCCCGCAGCGCTACGAAGACCTACCCGCCGATGCACCCCCGGCCATGCGGGATTTCGCGGCGTACTACTGCACCCCCCGGGGCTACCATCCCCGGACGGATGGGGTGGCGCGCGCGCGGAGCTGGGATCTGATGGCGAATTTCGAGGCGTTTCAGTTCATGGATAGGGTCAGTCCAAGGCCGGTGTTGATGGTTGTTGGGGAGAGGGCGGAGAGTCGGTGGGTGAGTGAGGCTGCTGTTGAGCGGGCGAGGGAGCCGAAGGAGGTGTTTGTGGTGGAGGGGAGGTCGCATGCTGATTTGTACGATCGGGTCGAGGAGGATGGGGTCGGGGAGAAGTTGGTGCAGTTTTTTATAGGGGGGTTGGTGGGGGCTTAGGGTTGGATTGAGTATCGGTATGAGTGCTTTCAGGGCTGGAGTAGGGCATCGGACTCTAGCACTCAGTGGTGAGTTTTCCTGGTCGGGAAGTTGAAGATTTTTGTACATGAGTACAGGTGGTTCTTTGGCCTTCCAGTAATTATACGAGAGCCACAAAAAGGCATAGAAGATTGGAGAGATCCACTATAGATGTGGGGATATAGAAGAATAATGGTTAGAAGCAGAAGTGCGGATACCCATCCTTAGGGTGGGTACCCTCTAAGTGCCTTTATTGCAGTTCAGGATACATATTGCTGTCAAGGTGCAGTTATGGTTCCATCAAAATAGAGTCATCATCATCATTATTCGCAAATTATACTATACATACAATCACTGTTTATCGTCATTCCAAATCCCCCCTTTTATCAGTCAAATATTCTATTGTGCAACAAGAACACCCCTGTATCTCATCTCGCCCTCATTCAACGTCTTCAATGCCTCCTGCACGCCCTCCTGCGTCAAAGGGAAGGTCATCTTGATAGGCTTGATGCCGTGCAAGGCAGCGAAGGCCAGCATGTCGCGGTGGACCTGTCTCGCGGAGACGATGCCGCCCTGCACGCGCAGGCCACTGGTGAGAAGGGTCATGTAGGGGAACTTGAACTCGGAGCTGTCGACGGAGAGCGGCGAGATGACGGCGCCGGGGGCCAGGACGGAGGTGTAGAGGTTCCAGTCGGGCTGGCTGCTGGTGGAGACGATCAGATGATTAAGAGGCTTGCCAATCTTGAGCTCCTTGGCGCCCTTGGTCGCGTGGAACTCCTTCGCGCCCAGCTTGAGCGCCTCCTCCTTCTTGCTGTCGCTGCCGGAAAACACGACGACGTCGCAGCCCATCTTGGCCGCGAACTGGATGGCCAGGTGGCCGAGCCCGCCGATGCCGACAATGCCCACGCGGGCGGTCGACTTCACGCCCGCGACGACTAGGGCGTTGAAGACGGTCGACCCGCCGCACATGAGCGGGGCCGAGTCCTCGTTGCTGAGCCCGTCGGGGATCTTGAACAGGAAGGCCTCGCGCCAGACGGCGTGGGTGGCGAACGAGCCCTGGTCCAGATCCGCCCCCGCATACATGGCCCGCTCCGGGCACATCGTCTCCCAGCCCGTCAGGCAGTTGGAGCACCGCCCGCAGCAGTCGTGCTCGTACCCCCAGCCCACCCGGTCCCCTTTCTTCAAGTCCTGCACCTCGGGGCCCACCTCCTCGACCACGCCGGCGCCCTCGTGGCCCAGTGCCATGTCCGTCGTCTGGTAGTGCAGATCCGTCCCGCACACCCCGGAGTGGGTGACCCGCACTAGCACTTGGTCTTTCTTCAGATCATCGCGGTGGGTGGTGGCTTGCTTGATGGATCCGTCCTTGGATCCTTTGTAGACGGTGAAATCGTATCCCATGGTTGCGATTGGTGTAGCGGATGCTGATTAGGAGAGCAAGAAGAGGTAGTTTAAGGACCTTGCAAGAATTCCGAAAAAAAAAAAAAAGGTTTCTCTTTGGTCCGGGCTATATAAAAAGTCCAGGATAAAACATGATGTCACCGGGATCCACCGAAAATTGCCGCATGCGGTAATTTCGGTAGGCGACGGGAGCCAGCGATGATATCAGTTCAGGATGAGGTCAGTCCAGCTTACCGTTACCTCTGCGCACCGTGCGTCTGGTAAATGATTCAGTAGTGACGCGATGGAATAATAAAGTTCTGATATTGTTTATCTCTGGCTAGCCGTGGGTGTGGTAATGGCTACTCAGGTATCTCTCATGGAAGAACATCGAAGCATTACCAATCCTTATCTCGTGTTTTGTCATGATTGTGTTTGCCTTAGTTTCAGGGCATGGTTAGGAGAATAGTATTGCAGCCTAGCACAAGGAGCTTAATCGCATGTTGGATTGGAATGTGTCAAGCTGGGCTGCATGGAGCGTTGCCAAGCTCATAATGCATGGCTGGAAACTCGCCGATCACTTGGTGCCTTAGGCATAAAGAAGTATTCCTCCTGCTTTTAGCAGCGCCGTCTTTGAACACTGCCATGCTGAACGGAGGTTGGAATGGTATGAAGTCAGATACTGAGACTTTTTACTAACTTAATATGCTAAGAGAAAGCAATCATATTGATTTCCTGTGGTAGCTCTCTCCCGGCTAGTTAGATCCCCCAGCAACAAAACAAAGATAGGTCCAAGAAACGCCGGTGCCGTCTCCAATTTCATATCACTAACCACACCTCCATCCTATTAATAGAATTCTCGCAAAGCAACAAAATACATTGAAGAGAAAGAAAGAGTAAGGTGCAGTCTCTTGCTTGGAAGATTCAAATGAGTAAGCCGAGTCGCTTATCTCCTGACAGCACGGACAGCGTCGATTGTGAAGGTCCTGGGATACCAAGACTCTGCAACAACCCGGGACAGATGAGGGTACGTAAGAATCAGAAGCGTATGAAGAGCCGCACTAACAATGCCATTGGGGTTCCATAGCAGAGCCTCACCCTGGCTGGCCTCCCATTTCAGGATCGTCTCTCGCGGACCGTCGATCTCCCACCGTTCTACCATTTTCTCCTTCTTCGGCAGATCGCTGCTGTACGGGGCAGGGCCGTTGCCAACGACAATGGAATACGACCGGCACCGATAGAGACAACGAACAAGATAGCACAGCCCACTGGGGTCAGCCAGAAAGAACTCTTCGGACACGGCAAGTTGTTTGAATTCTGGACGGGGAAGAAGACTGTCTTTGTAGTCCGGCGCGGCATGATCAAGGCCAAGATAGAGTGTATCATCTTCCGCAAAGAATGGGCGAGTTAAGAGGAAAGTCCCCTTGTGGTTAAAGCGCTTGCGCAATGGACGATGCTTGTTAAGCCAGTCGAGAGCGACCGAATGGGACTCGTGGTTGACGTAAAGCAGGGGCATCGCTATCTGGTGAGTTCTGGGAGCAACGGGATAGTAGAGGGTCGGCTTGATCCAACAGTACCGGCTCTTCCTTCCCCGTTTCCAATCAGTCTTCTCAACCCATGGATAGAGTGTGGCCTTGTCTGTCAGGATCGGCAGCGCATGCTTCCAAATCTCAAGGCGTAGCTCAGTAGGGAGCCAGGGAAAGCGTCTGAAGGTCGGGTGCTTGTTTTTGGGAGCTGGCATGACTGTGTGAGTTTTTGAAAGATGAAGCCAAAGGGTCTATCCCAGTAAAATGGCTGGAGGAAGTGATATATATGAAGGGGCACGAGGGTCGAAGGTGAGAAGGTTAGAAAGTTAAAGAGTAATCCAAAAGGACGTGTGGCTCAGTCTTCTTCTGATGGACAAACCCGGTGAGTGAGGCAAGAATAGAGGCCACTTAAGTCTTTGTTGCCTGTTGGTATTCGGCCTTCGCAAAATGAGTTGTAGAAGGAGTATCTCGAATACGAGGTGAGAAGTCGACGCAGTGTGTATTGTATGTAAAGTATGCGTCCGGTAGATCGACAATTTCACCTTGATATTCAGCCCTAAAGCATGAGGCAAGTTTGACTTCCAGCTCACTTCCGTCTTATGGGTAAAAGATTGAGACTCTGTCACTCAATGACAGCAAAGAGATCAAAGGGTATGATGACGGGTGCTTTTCGTGAATGAAGGCAAAGCTAGTGATACTAAGATGAGGTATCATACTCTTCTGTCTGTGCAAGCAGACAAGACAGCAACTGGCCTGTGATACATTACAGTTCCTCAGCGTCCCATATCTCTGTAGAGGGAGTCGTCAGAACGAGGCATCCAGTTACTTAATCTGCAGCCTTGCTTGAAATTGCATTCATCTTAATCATATGCGTCTGGCTCTGATGTAGAAATTGTGGCTCCTGCATTGTGAACGGTAATATACAAATCATTCCATGTATCTAACCAACCTCTACTCCCCTTTCCGCGACTGCTTCAATATCTCCACCTCACTCCCACCTCGAATGACCCCGACGCGCATCATCGACAGAAGATTGTGCGCCGCATTCGAATGATAATACACACCCCCATTGAACATAGCAGTCGCATCCTTCCCGATGCCAGCGTTGATCATCGCCCGTCCGCCGGGATGCTCCTCCACAAACTGGCTCACATCATGCACCACCCCAGCCACCGCCACAAGAGCCCGACTCTTTGCCAACTCCACATACTCCTCCCACTCCAACACAGGCAAGTCGGCGATAGGCGTGCCCCAATCCAATCTCGCACGTCGCTGATCGACCTTCTTCTGCATCTGCTGCACCCTCCCCTTCTCGATCTCATTTGCGCGGAACACTTTCAAATCATACGCGAGCCCCATCTGCTTCCACAGCCAAATCATCCACTTGGTCGGATCATACTGATACCACTGGATCGCATTCCGGTAATCGGAGGGAAACTCATGATGGAAGTTATGGTAGCCCTCCCCCAGCGTGGCCAGGGCGGTGATGGCATGATCGCGCGGGGAGTTGCGGTCGTCGAAGGGCTGCTCGCCCAGCCAGTGGGCCAGCGAGTTGATGCAGAAGGTCGCCTGCTGCACGAAGAAGATGCGCAGGATGCCCGCGTAGACGAACCCGCCCCACCAGTCGCCCCAGAGCCCCGCGCCCAGCATCGGCACCCCCATGCCCATCACCGCCACCACGAGGAGGTAGTGCCGGTGCTGCCACACCACTACGGGGTCCTCGTTAAGATCCGAAATATCCGTCCGTCCGATCCGCTTCGGGTTCTGCTTGAAGATCATCCACCCGAAGTGCGAGTAGAAGAGGCCCTTGTTCACCGAGTACGGGTCTTGGTCTGTGTCGGTGTACCGGTGGTGCGCCCGGTGCAGTCGGGACCACCACCGCGCGGAGCCCTCGACGGCTCCGCCTCCGGCAGCGGCAAGCCAGATGCGGAGCGGGAGGGTCGCGGAGTAGGAGCTGTGGGACCAGAGACGGTGGTATCCTGTGACGTTTCACGTGAGGTTAGGATTGGGTTCTGTGGTTGGGGGAGTTGTGGGTTGCGGGCTGAGCACACGTACCAGCTGTGATGCCTAGGCCGGTGAAGAAATAGTAGGCGATGGCCCAGATGGCGGTTTTGAATTGCAGGGGAACCCAAAATGCTTGGATGCAGCCGTAGAGGGGAATCCCGATGATCATGATGACATTGAGCCAGTCGATGTGTTGGTGCCAGTTGCGCAGGGTGATGGGGGTGTCGGCTATGTGCACTTTCTTCGGCACATCCCCTGTTCGTACAGAGGACGTGTTTGGGGTTTTGGGAGGCATGGTGGCCTGATTCTGCTGTGTGTGTGCACTACCGAATCAGGACGGATGCCAGATTAATCGATTTCAAGGTGGGAAAGAGATAGAAATTGATATTGTTCCAAGGGTATGAATGAAGGTCTGATGTATTCTGTTCTAAAGCGGAAGCATCAGAGCAACCGACGGTTTTATCTCTACTACAATGGACCATCATGACACGAGGGCGACCGACTCGCCCCCGGACTGTTGGGCCAGTGACATGATGCGGATGTGGTTCGATGTCGGATCAGATGAAAAGGTACGATCTCATTCGCTGCAGCATTCCCAACAGCTCGAGACAGTCATATCCCTGACTCGGTCTCAAGGCAGAGGATTCATGCATCAAGATCGATAGAACTCAAACATGGTTTGACGACGCATACTTGGACCGATGTTGTGCTCTTATGTTGACATGGAGAGATCTGTTGGGGCCAGGGCTGCTTAGTCACCTGGGCTGATGGCCTCCCCAAGATGTTCACTAATCATTTAATCGAAATAATGGACCCGCAGGGCCTCGGCCATCAGAAGGTGCGGAGAACTCAACATCTCATTTCTGTGTTCAACGTTTCAATTCTTTTCTCATTGCATGTCATTGGTTTTCACCCTCCCCGAATCACGTGCCATCTGTCTCACTTCTCACTGCACAGTCATCTCACTCACCCTCAGTTCGATTTTGTCAACCCAAGCTTAGCCGCAATGCGAGGGAAGATGGCCAACGCATTCTGATGATTGATCTGCGCCATTTCCGCCTCGGTAAAATTGCCATTCGCCTGGATCGCCGCCAGCCCCGGTTTCGCCTGACTGACCGGCACATACGGAACTAACACCACCATCAGCAATCAGCACCCCGTTCACCACCTCACAATGCATCTTCATGAACAAAAGAGTGAGAAAATCTCAATCAGGCAGATGACTTACAGTCCGTCCCCGTCACAATCTGGCCCACGCCGATAAACGCCTTCAGCCCCTGCAGCTGGATTGCCGAATAAGCCGACGCCGTGTCGAAGTAATACCCCTTCAGCTGGGCGATCACGGTCGCCGGGTTCAGCGCCCCCAGCGCCGGCAGACTGGCCACCCCCGCGATGCGACCGGCCAGGTAGGGCATGGCGCCGCCGCCGTGCGGGTAGATCATCGTGACGTTGGGATAGCGCGCGCGCTGGCCGGTCAGCAGCATGTTCTCCATCGCGCGCACGCTGTCGAACGGGTACTCCGTCAGGGGACCGCCGTAGCCGAGGGTGGCGTCGGCGCAGCCGGGCGTCGCGGGGTGGACGAAGACGGTGGCGCGGCGCTGGTTCAGGGCCGCGAACACGGGGTCGAGGCTCGCGTCGCCCAGGTACAGGCCGTCGTAGTTGGTGTAGAGGCCGATGCCGTCGAAGTGGAGGGTGTCGAGGCAGTACTATTCTCTGGTCGGTGGATTGTTCTAACGTTTGACAATGGGTTGGTAGGGGAGGTGTGGTACCTTGATCTCCTCCAATGCGTCTGCGACGTTGGGCAGAGGCAGGAGGCATAGCGCTCCCAGGCGCGTCGGATAGGTTTGGGTGTAGTTGTGCAGCAGGTTGTTGAGCTCATGGGCCAGTCGTTTGGCCTTCTGGGGCTTGGACGCCAGGAAGTACACACCGGGGGTGGTCACGCTCAGCGTCGAGTAGTTGACCCCGTAGCTGTCCATGTTCTGGAGGTGGCCCGCCAGCGTCCAGTCCGGCACCGGGAAGCCCTCCACGATCAAGCTGCCATTCACGGTGGGGTACCCTTCTTCGACCAGCGCATCCAGCCAGATCTGCGGGACCGGGTGGGAGTGCACGTCGATCCGGTATTGGGAGTCGAGGCTGGTGTGCGCGTGTACGATCTGCGTCGCCGCGGCCGCGAAGGCGGCGAGGTGGTATATGAATTTGGCCATGGTCGACAGCGTAACGCGATTGCTATTGTGACGCAGTTGAGCGTTCACCTGGGCTTCCTCCAGCTGGAGGGAGATGCAGGTGCAGATTTCACCCAGTGGCCTTATATACACGCATGACTTTTCTTGGCGTAGGAGCTCGGGCAAACAAACAAATATACGCGACCGAGATATACGAAGGAATTAATACTGGAGAAGATGGCGATTCGACGAAGAGATTCAGCTGAAGAGTTCCAACATTCTATCCCGCACCATGGCTTGGAAGTCCCCTTATGATTGGTGCAGTTTGGTCTCGAAAAGGTTAGGGCTCTGAATTCAATGGGCGCTAAATGCCGCCTCGTTCGGGATGATTAGAATTGTTCTCGATGAAGGCTCCATACTTCGCTGGGGATTGAAAAGTGATGGAATAGCGGACTTCGCGATGGATTATATTATGCGCCCAGAGCAACATCACCAACCCTAGCTTTCTTCCATTCAAGCATTCGTGCTACTCTAACAGATATAAATGATCATTACGGGACGTGAGGAGGGTCTTGATGCGCAGGAACCCGACCACATTTGGAGCGGGGTAGGGCGCACTCGGCAACCGACCTTGGACTGAGGATGAAGGGCTGGGCACCAGGGCCCATTCTTTCTAAAATCTTCGCAGGTGCGGACTAACCCGCAGTTAATGCCCATCGGTTCCACATAGCCAGGAGATGTAGGTTGTGAACCGCATCTATGACGAAGAAGTATGTTCCCTCAACGGAAAGCTACTTGTGGCTAGTGCGGCTATTGCGGAATCTCGGGAACCGATGTCCCTTCGGCGATTCGGCTAATCTATAAAGAGTTTGCCTAGTACGGCGGTCGCTGTTTTGTACTGGAATGTGCTGATGTATCGAGACTCGTCGAATCTACTTGGCTCGATGGCTGCGAAGTTTTCTTCTGGGTATTTCTGCTGTTCAGAGTGTGATGTCTGTCTATACAAGAGTCGGGTCAAGACCCCGCCTAGCCCATCCGCTGTGAGCCCTCGAAACATGAGTCAGGGCGAAGCCCGTGGCGGCGGCCCGCAATACCCGACAGTATGAACTTCACCCATACAAAAATGGTCGATAATGTGTCGCCATTTCAGGTTGGAAATTTCATCTCAATTGCCATGAGCACCCTCTGGAAAACCTTCGACTTGAAACAACTTCCTGCACAGGAAAAACGCCATGAGCAACGCGGACCTCGAAGCAGGCGAACTACACAAAAGAGGAAGCGATAGCCTGCAGTACGACCTGACCGTGGGCAGTGACAATGATGAAACCCTCGAGAAGGACAAGCCTTTAGGTTATTCTATGGGACCCGGGAAGCGTTTCCCACCGCCGCTTCCTGATCCAGCTGAGTACGTTGTTGAGTTCGACGGACCTGACGACGCCACGCATCCTTTCAACTGGAGCTCTGCCGTGAAGTAAGACCATTCGAGAACTGGGAGAAACTTAGAATCAAAATCTAACCCTCCAAATTAGGCTCTACATCTCCGTCATAGCCTGTGCCGGCACCTTCGTCGCATCCTTCGCCAGCGGGCTGTTCGCCCCAGGAACCGAGCAAGTAGGCAGAGCCTTCGGCGTCAGCACCGAAGTAGCCACCTTGGGAACCACCCTCTACGTCCTGGGCTTCGCATCGGGCCCTCTGATCTGGGGACCCGCTTCGGAATTGATCGGCCGACGGTGGCCCCTGATTCTAGGCCTCGTCGGCGGGGCCATCTTCGACATCGGCTCGGCAGTGGGCAAGGACCTGCAGACGGTCATCATCTGCCGCTTCTTCGCGGGGGTGTTCGGAGCCTGCCCGTTGTCCGTCGTCCCCGGCGTGCTGACGGATATCTACAGCAATGCCCATCGGGGATTCGCCATGACCATCTACGCGCTCACCGTGTTCGTCGGGCCCTTCTGCGCCCCGTTCATCGGCGGGTTCATTACCTCCAGCTCGCTTGGCTGGCGCTGGACACTCTACCTCCCCGCCTTGATGGGCTTTGCATTGGCCATCATCTCCTTTGCCTTCCTGAAAGAAACATACGCCCCGATCCTTCTGGTCGAGAAGGCAGCCGCCATCCGCCGGGCGACCCGCAACTGGGGCATCCACGCCAAACAGGATGAGGTCGAGATCGACCTGACCGCGCTGCTGCAGAAGAACTTCACCCGCCCGCTGCGGATGCTCCTCACCGAGCCTATCATCCTGCTGATCTCGATGTACATGTCTTTTATCTACGGGCTGGTCTACGCCCTGCTTGAGGCCTACCCCTACGTGTTCCAGACGGTCTACCACATGAACCTCGGCGTCAGCGGCCTGCCCTTCATCAGCCTGATCATTGGCCAGATCTTCGCCTGCGCTTTTATCCTCTCCCAGCACTCGGGGTATGTCAAGAAACTCATCGCGAACGACAACCGCCCCGTTCCGGAATGGCGGCTGGGGCCCGCGATGATCGGTGCTCCAATCTTCACGGTCGGGATCTTCTGGTACGTATACTCTGTATCGTGGTCACGACTCGCACGAGCACCATACTGATGTGAGGGGGAGAAGGTTCGGCTGGACGGGATTCACACCACGCATCCACTGGATGGCACCCACTGCGGCCGGTGTCTTCGTGGGGTTCGGCGTACTGTGCATCTTCCTCCCGTGTTTCAACTACTTGGTTGATTCGTATCTCCCGCTGTAAGTTGGCAGGAACATTCTTGCTGCTTCTCGGGCAGGAGCTGACGTGACTTAGGGCGGCATCGACCGTGGCGGCCAACATCATCCTCCGCTCCAGCGTTGCGGCTGGATTTCCGCTGTTCACGAAGCAAATGTTCGAGAATCTGGGGATCCAGTGGGCGGCGACGTTGCTGGGGTGTCTGGCGGCCGTGATGATTCCTATTCCCTTTGCGTTTCGGAGGTGGGGCCCGCGGTTGAGGGGGAAGAGCTCGCTTGCGCCTTAGCTTGAACATGCGTGGGTAGCATTTGATCTCATAGACATAGGGCTAGAGCCAAGCCGACCGGAGCTTCCACATCATGGCTCCAGTCTCCTTCAGTTTTCATAAGCTGCCCTACTTGGATCCTCACACAAAGCTGTACATTACAAGCCAAGCAATACATGCACATACCTTGTACAGTACATTCCCAATCACCTCAACCAATCCTCAGTAGACCATACAAACACCCAACATAACCTACACCTCCCCGGGCCCGCGGGCCGTCAAAAACCGAAAATCCGCCCCCTCATGCGCCTGATTGACCTCCCGCTCATACAGCCCGCGATACCCGCGCCTGGCCCGCCGCGCATTCCACGTCTCCTCCCCCAACCCTTGTTCCACCACGGCGACCCGCCGCTCCTCCGCCCTCCTCCGCAACTCCTCCTCACTCACCTCCAACCGCAGCACCCGCTTCTCCACATCCAGCGTAATCCGATCCCCGGTGCGCACCGCCCCGAACGGCGAATCAGGCACCGCCGCCTCCGGCGCTACATGCAGGACGATCGTGCCCCCGGCGGTCCCGGACATCCGGCCGTCCGAGAGACGCAGCATATCCGTGACCCCCCGGGCGGCCAGCTTGCGCGGGATGGGGATCATGCCGGCCTCGGGCATGCCGGGGTTCCCGATGGGGCCGATGCCCTTGAGCACGAGGACGGAGTCCGGGGTCACGTCGAGGTCCGGGGAGTCGAGGCGGGCGGCGAGGTCGCGCGGGTTCTCGAAGACGACGGCGGGGCCCGTGTGTTGCAGGAGGCGCTTGTCCTTGGAGGCCGAGGCCTTGCACACGGCCCCGTCCGGGGCAATGTTGCCGTGCAGCACGACGAGGGAGGCGTTGGGGTGCAGCGGGTTCTCCAGGGTGCGGATGATACTCCGAGAAAAGTCGTGGTCGCGGAAGGGGGTCTTGTCGAGGATCTCGCCCAGCGTTTCGCCGGTGATGGTGCGCGCCGAGGTCTTGAGGAGCGGGCGCAGTCGGTGCAGCAGGCAGAGCATGCCCCCCGCGTTGTGGAAGTCGGTCATGTAGTTGTCGCCGCTGGGTTTGAGATCCACCAGCAGCGGGGTTGTGCGGCCGATGGCGTCCAATGTGTCTAGGGTGAGGGTTCCGCTGATGTCCGGGTGGCGGTTGATGATTGCCATTAGGTGCACCATTGCGTTCGTCGAGCCGCCGATCGCTTGGAGGACCACGGCTGCGTTGTGGAAGGATTCTGCGGTGAGCAGGGCTTGCGGGGTGCGCTGGTCGCGGTGCTGCGCGGCGGCGACTGCGTTGGCGCCCGTCTGCTCGGCGATGCGCAGGCGGGCGGCTGAGACGGCGGGCGCGGAGGCTCCCTGGAGTGGGGTGAGGCCGAGGGCGACGGTGATGCAGGCCATCGTGCTGGCGGTGCCCATTACTCCGCAGGTGCCGACCTGTGCGGGGGGAAGTCAGGGCTGTGCCTTGGGGAAGGGAAAGGGGAGGGCTGGGTTACGCACTGTCGGCGCCAGTTCCTCGTTGATCGCTCCGATCTCCTCCATGTCGATCGTGCCCGCCCGGTACGAGGCCCAGTTGTTTCGGCAGTCGGTGCAGGCGCCGATTCGCTTGCCCCGGTGACTGCCAGGCATCATGGGGCCGGTGAGCAGGGGCAAGATGGGCTTGTTGGCGGAGATGCCGCCCATGATCTGAGCGGGGACCGTCTTGTCGCAGCCTGGGGGTAGAACGTCAGCATGATCGCACAGGTTCACGGCTGTAAGTGGGAAGGTTCTGGCCGGTACATACCTCCAATCATAATGCAAGCATCCACAGGCTGAGCACGGATCATCTCCTCGGTGTCCATGCTCATGAGATTCCGCAGGAACATGCTGGTCGGATGGGAGAAACCCTCGTGCAGGCTGATGGTGGGGAAATCGATGGCAATTCCTCCCGCAAGGTGGATGCCTCGCTTGGTCGCCTCCATCAGCTGCGGCACGTTCCCATGGCAGGGGTTGAAGCCCGAGCCAGTATTGATGATTCCGATGATGGGACGGGAGAGCGCATCCTCCGAGTAACCTAGGGCTTTGATGAAGACTTTGCGCAGGAACAGGGAGAAGTGGGCGTCTCCGTACGAGGTGAGCCCTTGGCGCAGCCCGGTGGTAGAGGCGATGGGTTGCTGGAGATCATAGTCTTGGCTTGGTGGTTCCGTTTGCTCCATTCTCGCGTTTAAATGGTAGACGAAGCTGATAGTTTGATTCCTGATGTTGCCAAACGTGCAGCTTTATGAGACAATGCGGGGTCGGCTGGGGATGAACCGAGGCGGAAACTTCTCCGAGCAGCAAAGCGGGAGAGATCCGAGCTCCCCGTTTCGACGCTTCGACGCTTCGACGCTTCTCATTTCCGTCGGCATGGCGCAATGCCATTTACGCTTATCTGGATTGGCTGGAGTTGGAATCATCCAATGCAGTCTAAAATGCCAGCCTTAGGCACTCTATTACTACACTGAGCACAATGTCTTGTTCGCACAAAGACGTACAGACAAAGGAGCGTGGGAACCCTAACAATGGAAACATAACATAGCACAAAACCGGGGCTCAAAGAAACGGGTAAACATCCAGACCCTCTCATATATCATCACTATCCATCTCAGAATGTAGGCCTTTGTATATAAGACGGAGGTCATTAGCACATCAAAGGACAACAAAGTGAGCAATATGACAAGGCATGCAACAAACTTTCACACCACCACAAACAACAAATTCGCAGGATACACAGTATATAACCCCCCCTCCCAAGTCAGTCGTAGTGTCGCTCCTTTCACTCAGTCGCAGTATCTATCATCTCCGTACGAATCTCATAGCTAGGTCAAAATGGCCACTCTGCAGACAGAGTCTGCACAAAAAGAATTTGCCTCCCAATGCAAGGCCACGAATCTGGACTACGGACTCCCCGACTGGGACTCGGATACCTCGTCTGACTCCGATAATGAAACCGTCTCGAGCGTCAACATAGTGGGACCCGACGAGGTGTCGCTGGCCAAGATTCCCTACTGGTTAGACCAGACCCCGGGTCTCAAGGCGAAAGACAGGAAGCCCGTGCCTCCGCCGCGGGTGGATTTCCCGGTGGATGCGCCGGACAGTCCCGAGCTGCACCGCCGAATGTCCTATCTGCTTGGCACGAACCGCATCAAGGCCACTGTGACCGGCGAGATGGCCGCCTCATACGCTGGCGTGCCAATCAACGTCCAGAATTCCGAATGGGCGATCCCCGAGCCGCTCCTCGACCAGGCGGCGGAGATCCTGCGGGCGGACGGATTCCCGGCCTGCCCGGCCTGCCCGCGCACGGCGGCGTGGAGCGAGATGCTGGGGCAGAGTGACAGCGAGGAGGAGGGGGAGGAGAGCGACAAGGCTTCTTCGGGAGGGAAGCGGTGGTCCCTCCGCCAAAAGAAAGTCCGGTGCGCCGTCCTGCGGCGCGACAAGCCATCGCACCGCGCCTACCCACGACCGGCGATTCACTTCCACACCGACCACCGCTACCCCAAGTCGGCCTGGGATCTGGAGCAGTCGCGCGGGGTCTTTCTGTATCCCATGAAGGCTGTGATTCACCCAGCCCTCCCAGACCCGCCCTGCGGCCCGGCAGCGCACGGGGACGAACCGGCCTTCCTGTGGCCGCTGTCGCAGCGCACCCCGCGAAGCGCCCCCGGGACGTCGGTCTACCGAACCACCTCATCCAGCCATCTGCCCGCCGCGGGCGCCGGCCTGCTCGACTTCCGGGGGCGGCAGAACCCCAAGCATTACCCGGTCAACATGCTAACCCCCGCCAAAGCCGTGGAGAACCTCGTGCGGCTCATCATGCGGCACAGGGGCCAGTGGGTGAACCATTATTGGATCCGGCTCTTCACCGCGTACATGCTCTTTGCCTTCGACGTGAACCACCTCGACGGGGACCAGAGTCTCTCGGGGCGCGTCAAGTTGGAGATGGATGGTGTCGGCGACTGGCTGGAGCTGCAGCTCGACGACAACACTAACATCGACCGGGCATTCCACGCCGTCTGGCGAGCCATCAAGAATGCCCGCGAACCCCCCCTGTTCTACCGCTATGGGACTTGCAACCAGCACGCCCATTATCAGATCTGGCATCGGCAGCAGTGCAGAAGACCGTGGTAATAGAGACTTGTAGGGATGAAGTTCTGTCTTTGCTTAAAGTTGCTTATAGATTCATGTTGGTGTCAAGTCAATCAGGGAAACCAGTAGAAGGGATTTGTAGAATGCACGAGGTCCCCATAGCGTCGATTCGGTGGAGGACAGCAGTCTCCGAGGCTGTCAGTGATGGTTGAGAACAACACAGTCATAATACAGAAAGTAAGAGCCCCAAACACCTTTCATAATCCCAAGTGTCGCTAGTCGGCCGCCCAGTAACCGATTATACCAAAAGTACCAAAAATACACTCCAAGCGCGCAGTCAAGAGCGATGCGGGACGTATCCGCATTGACTAGCCGATACAGGAACCCCCCCTCGGCCCGCTTCCGATCAACGAAACCGTCTTAAATATACCTAAATACCCAAAGATGCAACGCAACAGGTTCCAACGCAGCAACTCTGACATCAACCTCAATTTCCTATTTATCTACAGACTCACACAAATAGCAAGCTGTATATTCTATTCTACCCACGCTCCCACAAGCATCAACCATGACCCTCGTACACATCGGTCCGTTTCCCCACAACCACCTTCCCAAATCGCACCCATCCTAACCCATGAACCTCCGCAGTCCTCTTCAAATTCCGCTCCGACGTGAGCGACGAGCACAAAAACACCTTCGTCACCGAACTCAAGAAGCTCAAGAATCTCCCGTGCGTCAAGGATGGCCGGCTCATCGTCGGGGGTCCCAGCGTGACGGACCCGATCGACCGCAGCAAGGGGTTCCAGATCGCGCTGGTGAGCTACCATGAGAATCTGGCGGCGTTGGCGGAGTACCAGGCGAGTCAGGAGCATCACTGGTTTGTTCTCAATCCCAATGTCGTTTCCGTGTGTTCAGGCTAACCTATGGTGGCAGGGTGACGTCGACGTATATGTTCCCGTACAAAGAGGACCTCGTGCGGTTCGACTTCGAGGTCGATCCGGCGGATGAGTATATGTGTCAGTTTGCGGTATAATTCTGACTACGGGGAATCATGGGGCGGAGGCACTGTGTGCTCGATAGATTTGTCAACAATAGTGAAGATAGACCCGCATTAACCATACGTTGTAATCCAACGCAATCGCATCAGAAGACTACAGACTACATCTGCAACCGCAGCGCATTCTTCCGCCACCCTTGCCTCCTCGCCCGCTTCCCACCGATCGGATTCGGCTTGTTGGTCGTCGTGTTGTACGTCGCTAGCGAATCCAGCACCTCCCACTGCACGGTCCCATTGCCCTCGCGGTAGGTGCTCTTGACCGACCCGACCGTCTTGTACCCCTCCGTCCCGGGATCCACGGTCCCCGTCGCCACGTCCTTGCCCGAGATGACCCGCTCGAACATCTCCAGTGCCAGCAAGGGCTGGTAGAAGGGGACCTCATGGCCGCTCTCGTAGACCCGCACGAAGGCGAAGCGGCCGGCCTGGCGCACCTGGCCGTGCACCACCCCGTCCGAGGTCGTGATGTTCGTGTAGCCCGCGGCCGCGAAGCCGGGGGCGCCCACCTCGGCGGCGACGGCCTCGCCGCCCAGCCAGTTGCAGTTGTAGTCGGCGTCGCCGGCGTACATGGCGACGGTGACGCCCTGGCGGAGCAGGGCGGCGACGTCGGCGGTGGTGCGCATGCGGCGGCCGTCGTCGCCCGTCGCCGAGAACGCCTCGTACACCGCGTTGTTGCTCTCCGTGAAGTTGACCGTCGCCCCGATCGCCGCCTGCACCCGCGCCGTGTTCAGGTAGTCCACGTAGAACTCGTAGGGAAATGGGTCCGGCGTCAGCTCCCGGATGTCGTACTCGTCCCGCCCTAAGTACAGGTCGTAGATGCTCTCCACCTCATTCGCGCAAAACGAGTCCGCCGTGCTGCAGATCGCGTCCGTGCCGCGCGCCGCGCAGTCGCGCAGCTGGCTGAGGCAGTTGCCCGGGCCGTAGACGTTGTTGTACAGGAGGGCGCTGATCGAGGCGTTGTACGGTTGGTAGTCGTAGGTGTTGCCGGGGTAGACCTGGTGGTGCGGGTGAAGGGTCAGTGAGTCTTGGACTGTGTATACTGTGTATATGAGGCACGGAAGAGAGGCTCACGGTGAAGTTGTAGTAGGCCTGGTACTGGATGATCGGGTCGTACCACCCGTTCCCGATCATCACGCTCTCCAGCTGGATCTTCTTGGCTCCGTGCGGGAGGTGGGCGTTCTGCTGCTCGATGTACTCGTTGAAGACGGGCCCGTAGTGCCCCCCGTAGCTCTCGGTGGTGAAGTGGAAGGATTCGCGCGAGTACTGCGGGAATGCGCCCATGAAACCCTGCAGCGCCCGGTAGAAATTGGGGGCGGCGTTGTCGGTCGAGTTGGCCGTCAGGCTGATGTTGGGGTACGAGTAGGTCCCACACGAGAGGCCGGCCGCATAGTCCGGGCAGCTGGTCGAGGGCAGGCTGATCACGTTGCTGGTCTCGGAGTCGACGTAGCCCGGGACGGGAATGCTGTAGGAGAACCCGGTCTGCACCGGCTGGTCAATGTACAGCATGTTGCTCGCATTCGACCACGAGTACGGGTTGTTGTACACGGAGCCATTCGCGTCGACTCCACAGGGGCCGTTCTCCTGGAAAAGGCCGATCATGGACGACGACCCGGGACCTGGTGGTTCTGGCATCAGAATTGTATGGCAAGCGATAGTTCACCGGGGTTGGTCTACCTCCATTGATCCACACCGTCAGCGGAGCGTCTTGGGGATCTTGGTTCCGCGCTTCGAAGAACCAGAAGAAGATGTGTTCGTTCTCGGCGACATCGAGGTAGCCGGAGAAACTCTTCACGCTGGGATCGGTTTCGCAGATCCCGTTGGGGACCTGCTTGTACCGAACGGGGACATCGAGATAGCCTTTGGTGGAGATCAGGTCCGTCGGAGGGGCAACAAATTGGGCCTGGGTGAGTGGCCAGGCACCCAGCAATGCGACAGACCAGAGAGATCGCATTGTCACGATGCTCTGCGTAGTAGAAGTACGAATTACTCTGTATTGTATGTGATGGCAGGGGCGGGGCTTGGCTTTTATGCTAGCATCACCCGCCGTTATCTCCAGGTTATCGGGGAAGATGAAAGGTGTGGAGCCTGGAGGAGGTTGGAGCAATGCAGTGCAGTGGAGTCAACAAATTGCCCCAATTAGCGGTGTAACCTCGGCTCTCTACGCGCAAATCAGAAGGTTGCATTATCCCTCTTATCAGCACAATGCGGATCAGATTGCATCACCTTGCTATCAATAAAACTCCTTTGGGGTATTTGTTGATGATTGCTCAATGCTTATATGTAATCCTCCTCCGGAGTCCGTAGGAGATATTCAACATCTGAATTATACGTCGTCACTTAACCTAGCATGCATTTCGCAGCAGAATAGAATAATTTCACAGAACTTCAAACCGGCGATGACTATGCCTCGCAACCACAACATCTATTTTACATCGGATCCCCGCGCCAGGTCAAACCTCACACTCTCCCCGTTGACGAGGTGATGCCTCCATCTACCACCAACTCCTGCCCCGTGATATACCGGGCCTCATCTGAGGCAAGGAAGACCGCCGCATTGGCTACATCCCAGGCATCGCCCATGCGACCCATGGGCACCTGTGCGTCCCGCTTCCGCATGTACTCCTCCTCATCCCCGCCGGGCGCATACCGCTTCGCCAGTTGCTGCGTGTACGGGGTATAGATCAGCCCCGGCACCACCGTGTTCAACCGCACGTTCTTGTCCGCATAGATGACCGCCGTCGCCTTCGTGAACTGCATGATCGCCGCCTTGGTGGCCGAGTACGCGACCTGCGGCTTGCCGATATACCGCAGTCCTGCAATGCTCGACACATTGACGACCGATCCCCCGGTCGCTTGCTTCTCCATGATCGGCAAGACATAGTGACAGGTCAGATAGATGCTCTTGAGATTCAGGTCCACCTGCGCGTCCCAGACGTCTTCGGCCATGGTGGCCGGACACCCCGGCTCGGACTTGCCGACGTTGTTGACGAGGATGTCGATGCGACCGTGTTTGCGCATGCAGGCGTCGACCAGCGCTTCTACGGAGGCGGAGTCGGTGACGTTGGTCTCCTGGACATCGCACACGCCGCCGGCCTCCTCGATGCGGGCCTTGGTGCGTTGGGCGGAGGCGAGCGAGCGGTTTCCGCCGTAGATGAGGGCGCCCTGCTGGGCCAGTTTGGCGGCGATGGCCGCCCCGATGCCCCAGCCTTCCTCGGTGGTTTGGCCCAGGCCGGTGATCAAGACCACTTTGCCATCTAAGCGAAGCATGATGGGATGTGTGGAGGTAGAAGGAAAGATGTGGATATACTTTGCAAGAAGAAAAGCCAAGCTACCACAGAAGTAATGAATGAACTGCCTTTCTTTTCCTTTTCCCTGCTGTTGCTGCTGCTGTTGCTGCTCTGCCCACCGGCTCTTATCAGGGCTTATCGTCGGCGGATCGTATCCGCTACCCTCGGATGCTGTCCGGTCCGCATCCGCCACAAGGACCACAAGGATTGGAACGGGCTAACGGATTTTCCCCGGCCGTGCTAGCTAATCTTCGCATCCCTTCGCGGCGAGTCTCCGTTTGATCCATGCATTGATTGCATAGTGCCTAATGCCAGACTTCCTCTCCATATATTGCACTCGATGGACTCCCCTAGACGCGCGCGCAATCGCGCCGCCTGCAGACGCTGCCAGCGTCGCAAGATTCGTTGCGATGGCATCACCCCTACCTGTGGCGCATGCCGGAAATCCGGCGTTGCTTGCGTTAATGATGGGAAGCAGGAAGTGCATCGCTCGTTAGTCGCTGCCGTAATTCTAGAGCCTGACTACCCCGTACTAATACGATGGCTGTAGGTACATTGCAAATATGGAAAACAGAATCAAGTGGCTGGAGTCGATTGTTCGAGAGAAATGCTCGAATGTCGACCTGAGTAATGGCCCGGAGCGGCACTCAGAGACCCTGGACGAGTCAATCATAGAAGATAGTCTGCAGCAGAACCATGGATCTCCGCAAGAAACACAGCAAACCCCTCTTGAAGCTAGCCAAGTCACTCTGCCGACGCCCGATCAGTCAATTCCCCAGGCTACAGCTGTCGTGGCGGAGGCGAACGCAGCTACCCTACCCACCCCCGACCAGTCGATCTCGCATCATGCCCCCATGCAGGACGAGCCACACCAAGCCCACGAGATCGGTCTGGTGTCTCTCTCCCGTGGGAGTGATCCCCGTTACATCGGCCCTTCGAGCGGATACTTCTTTGCCAAGCGCATCTTCTCGAATACAGGGTGGCGCGGCCGGCAGGAATCCTCCTCCAGCGGCCATCTGTCCCACCTACCCGTCGAATTGCTGAACCCGCCAGCCACGCTGCCACCCCAGAAGGAGGTCGCTGTCGAGCTCTCGACCACGTACTTTCGAACCGTCCACCTTCTGTACCCATTCCTACACGAGCAGCGTCACATTGAACTGCTGAATGACGTGTACAGCGCCCCGGAGGAAAACCCAACCAGCACGTTTCAGGTGTATATGGTTCTGGCGATCGCGTCCCTGAACCTTTCCCGCCAATGCAAGCTCCAGCTCCCGGTGGAAGGCTACTACGCGTCAGCGATGAAGTACGTGGACTACGTTTGCCACGATGAGTCGATGGCTGCGCTGCAGTGCTTGTTGCTGCTCATGGTCTACGCCTTGTACAACCCCTCTTGCAACGTCAACATCTGGAATCTGAATTACCAGTGCCTGGCAAGCGTGATAGACTTGGGGCTGCAACGCGACGTTCGCGCCTCTCCGTCCTACCAGATTTCTCTGTTCACCCAGGAGATGCGGACGCGGGTGTTCTGGGTGGCGTACACATTTGACCGCACGGTCTGCACCATGATGGGTCGACCGATAGGACTCAGGGACGAAGCGTGTGAGATACGGGTACGCCTGAGCCTTCATACTAAAATCTCGTACTTACTTTGATACTGTACTAACCCACGACAGTTCCCCCTGGATATCCCCGACAGCAACCTCATGAACCGCTCTGCCGACCAGCCCGTATCGCTGGAAGCGCCATCCCACATGTCCTATTCAATCCACCTCTTCAAACTGGCGCAGCTCAACTCCGAAATCAAATACGTCATGCACAGCATCTGCCGCGACGCGCCCGCCTACGCATACCCGCCCGTGAAAGACATCTTCGCCTGGCAGCGGGACATGATGCGATCCCTGCAGGAGTGGCATGCCGCCGTGCCGCAGCACCCCCGGGATCAAGACAACACCGGGATGACCCCGTACTGCCACGCCAAGTACCACGAGACGATGGTGCTCCTGCTGCGACCCAGCCCGGCGATCCCCGCTCCCGCCCCGGAGATGCTGGATCTGTGCGTCCAGCACGCCTTCATGCTGCTGCAGTGCTTCGGCGATCTGTACGACGCCGGCCGACTGCTGTACAGCCGCCTGGCCGTGCACGCCGTCTTCCTGGGGACGCTCGTCCTGCTGCACGGGATCTGGAAGCTGCCGGAGACGGCGACGCGATTCCGCACGGACGAACTCATCCGCCGGCTCAACTCCGCACAGAGCATCCTGAGCAGTATCGGCGAGCACTGGGCGGAGGCCGCCAGCGCGCGCGACTGCATCGCCCAGCTGTCCAACGTGACGGTGCAGCGGCTGCTCAAGGGCCCGGCGGGCTCGGGCGAGACCGCATCGTCACCGCTGCGCCATCGCCTGCGAGATCCTGGGGTCCCGGCGGCCCAGCTGCAGCATGTTGACCAGAGAGGTAGGGCCGTGCAGGGGCAGAGCTCCACTTCTTACGAGGATGACCCCACGCTCTCGTGGCAGGCGGGGCTGCCGGGACAGCCTCCTACTGCTGCTCCGTCTCCGCCGTCGGAGTTTCTGAACCTGTTCGATGACCTGCTGCGGTGTGATTTCCAGGGCTGGAGCGGGGTCTCGGATCTGGATGGGTTGATTCGGGAGATATTCGGTAGCTCTCAGCATGAGAGCTGATGGCTTTTCATTGATTACATCAACCGAATCGCTGTAACGTGGCTGTTTGCTTGAATGGTACAGATTACATCCATTTGGTTAGATGGGAAAAGCAGTAACAGAACCCACGCCCAGGAAAAGCCGCCCGGCTACTTCCGACGGAACAAGCCGCGCGCGACCTAGCGCTCGCTCTCGGAAGCACTCCGTCTCACTCAGATTTCCCCTCACCCCCACCCTTTCCCCACCATTAAAACAAAAGGCGACCCCAAGATCACCACAAAACAAACCCCCAATTGACCCTTTCCACAATCAAACCAACCCCGAACAACTCCCCAATCCTTCTCACCTCATCAACAAAGACAACCACTCCCAAAATGACGCCCGACGAAACTCTGGCGCACGTGCAAACCGTCAGCGCGACCCAGCGCGCCAACAGCCCCATCTACGCCCACCTCCTGGCGGACGTGACCATCACCGCCGCCACCGAGGGCCACCTGCTGGCGACCATCCGCATCGCCCAGCCCCACATCAACTCCAAGGGCGGGCTGCACGGGACCATGTCCGCGTGCCTGGTCGACTGGGCCGCGGGCATGGTCATCGCCACCTACGGCGGCAGCTACACGGGGGTGAGCACGGATCTGCATGTCTCGTACGTGGCGTCGGCCCGGGAGGGGGAGACGCTGGAGGTGACCGGGCGGGCGATGAAGGTCGGCGGGACGATGGCGTACGTCTCGGTGGAGATCTGTAAGGTGGTGCCGGATGAGACGGGTGGGGGGGAGAAGAGGGTGGTGGTGGCCACGGGGTTGCATACGAAGTTTGTGAAACAGCGGTGATTGGGGTTGTTGGATTCGGCGAGTTACGCTATGCTTTGGGTGGAAGATGTGCGTGTTGACGCATGGGGCTCCACTTCTTCTCTGGATGGACTGTAAGAAATATAAATGAAGAGTGCAATTCATATAATATCATAGTGCTTACGAGAAGAATCTCCAATTATCAATTCAAAGTCAAGACGACCTCCAATGATAAATCACTTCAATGAATACCTCCGGCGCCCTCGTCATCACCCTGCCGCGCCTTTCCGAACAAACTCGCTCGAAGCGACTGAAGCCCCGGCCGCGCCCCCTGCGCATCACCTTCAGCAATAGCGGCAGCAGCAGTCTGAGTATACGTGTTCGGCTGATTACTCTCGATAACCTCTCCTCGGCCGCCAGATACCGCCGCAGCGCCGCCTCCATCAAGGCCACGACCTCCTCCGCCGAGAACCGCTCGGGGTCGCTGTACCGCAGGCGGACCATGGTCTCCTCGATCGCATCCAGCTGCTTCCGCGGCTCGAACATGTTCCGCCGCAGCCGCTGGGCCAGGCCCCGCCCCTTGAGGAAGGCGAGCACGCCCGCAATGACCGTGTTGACGGCCCCGAGAACGATGATGGCCAGCAGGTGCGCGCCGCAGCTCGGTTTCAGCGCGGTGATGCTCGCCCCGATGATCAGCTGCGCGATCGTCAGGAGGTTGTACGCGACGCAGAAGACGTGGTAACGGTGCGCTGGTGGTTGCATTCCGAGCGCAGCTTGCGGCATAGGTCTTTGATGCCGGCCTCGAAGATGCGCGCGGTATGAGGCTTTTCGTTTGGTTCTTGGTGGGAGGATTGGGTCAGGGTGGGGTGGGTTGGGTTGGGTGTGCAGAGGTGCTTGTATGTGCAGTACGGAAGTTTTCCTTTTCTGTATGAAGGGGGCGATTGGTATTCGAATGTGAAGTTAATACCAGGCATAAGCAACAGAAAGTTCTGTACTATTGGTAGCTGATTGCCATTATCTCACGCATCTGATCGCATGATCTCATACAACTTCATGGGTAAACTAGCCTGGCTTACTGCTACGAGACCATAAGCCTTCAGTGGCTTCCCATCGCTTGGTATCGCCGACGAGCTGGTAGCGGATATCCTCATGTGGCACTTTTAATTCTGATATCCCTATCCATTTCCCCTATCCACCAATCTGTTTTATGAGCCCCCATTCCCCCAGAAACAGCAAAATAACAGGTTTGATTCTGCAGAGTCTGGTTATCATGTGTCTCTTACGAGCCAAGCCCTAGCTCCGAGATGTTGCTGAAAGTCACGTCGGCAAGGTGAGTGAAAATGGAATGAGTCAACAATCTCCAGTCGGCTGTATCATTTCCTGCATCGCAAACGAAACAGAAGTCTCAGTTTGTAGTCAAGAAGATAACTCTCTTATTGGCGCTGTTATGTTGGTCGCAGAGCATGCTCGTTCTTTGCGGTATGTGACAAGTAGCCTCTCCACCCTCTCCCCCTCTTACAGGTAAAAAAGCAAAGGGAATTCATATGCCTATCTTCTTGTACAGTGGAGAGTTGAAGAGAAGCGACTCAGACCTTAGCCACGACTTGCGACTAAAGTCGACGGCTGATACGAAAGTATGATTGAAGTCAAAGACGGACACGGATACGAGAACCATGGATCAGCGTCAACTCAACCGGCTAACGATACGACCAAGCTGGTTCAGCTACAACTACAGATCCTCTCTTCAAGCTGTTCAGGTGGTTCAATGAGGATCTCAACATCGCAACAAGCATGGAACTAGGCCGGAGCTGTCACTGTAGGTGTACATCACAGCTTAGTAGGGTCAAGCTCGGGTACAGACTAGCGGTAATAATTCGGAACGTCTTGAGTAGCTTTTACTATAGGACTGTGCTTCGTGGTACGTGCGCCGGTGGCACAGGTCGTAGCCCCAAACCCGCACGAGCTCCTGGAGCTACACTGATACGGAATAGGTCAACCCTGACGAAGGGATGTCCGGGCGGAAGCTGTGGAGAAGCTCGAGATGCCAGGAGCATTTGACAGCACCATGAGGTTTGGGTTGGTGAGCCTAATACGAACCACGAACCATTTAACGTCGCAAGGCTGCATGCGGCCGTCGTGAGCTTCAATGCACAGCCCCCACAGCTGTACCGACTAGACTCTTGGTCCGAGCTTAAGCTTACAGCCACACCGATCACTCGTTTGGTCTTGGCCTTTTCTGCAATGAGGATTGTTCTTCATGAATTGGATCTGGGCCACAGCCCACGCTCATACGACGGCGGCAGTTGGCGCAATTTCATCCTCGTATTGCGCACGGCAGGTGTGCTGCAATTTCACAACCGTGTCTTCGTTCTGCAGCCACCAGTTGACATCTACGCTCCTAGAGATCAGTTACACAGCCATGGTCTCTTACATGTGAATTGATACTTGAGGTCGCAATCCGACAGGTCCTTCCCGAGTATTGTAAAACTGCGGGCTGGTGCTCGAGACCCAGCACTACGGCTGGATAAAACAGACATGGCCAGCTCAGAATACCATGCAAACCCCAATTAGAGCGACCCAGTGTCGGGCTTCTCTTCCACGTTTGCGGCTGCTCGTGTTGAAACCGGACAATCCTTGCAACATCCCCCGAGTGGCAGCTTAGCCTACAACACGAACTTGTTTTAGACGCCTACACCACGCGAGTCCTTTATCTTCAGCTCTCCAGCGCCACAGCCAAGCTCGATTGATCCGGGTCATTTGACAGACGTTGCACAATTACTGCTGAAGAGATAGACTTCGGCAGTCGAGTCCAGACCATTGAAAACCTCCAAACTGATAACACACTGTGTCGTGGGATTCTTCATTCCAACTGGTCCCTTATGACGAGGTGCACCCTAAAAAGCATAAATACAGCCTAATCCTCCCGGTCAAGGGTTCACTTCTTCTCTCAACAATCCCAATCCCATCACAATCTCACTCAACCACCATATCCAACCAAGCTGGACTCCGTCGCCAAAGACTGGTGTGGAACCTCGATCCGCAACCGACCCAAGCCCATCATCATGTCCGACCAGCAGGCCACCCTCGACCCGGGCCGTGCCAGCTTCTTTGACGACCTGAAGGGCGCCGTGGGGCAAGAAGCCCTAAAGACCCTCGACCCCGCAACCGATCTCTCCGACGAACCGCCCGACGAGCCGTCCTCGACTTCCGAACGCCCAGCGAGGTACACCTGCTCGACCCAGAGACCCGCCCCGGTGACCTTCACCGATGCCGCCAGCACCAGCAGCAGCCACCCGGCGGCCAACATCGCCGCGCTCCAAGTCGGCTTCGGGAAAGTGATCCCGCGGTGGAAACCCGGCCCAAACCAGCGCGTCAACTTCGCCGCCTTCGCCAACGGATACCCGAAGGCCGAGTGGGCGACGCTGGCGGCCAACGCGCTGAAGGCGGCCGCGGACGAGTGGAACCGGCTCGAGCTCGGGGTGAGCCTGCAGTGGGTGGCCCGGCTGGAGGACGCGGCGTTCGTGCTCTCCTACGGCGGCAGCCAAGGCGGGGTGCTGGCCGAGGCCTTCTTCCCGAGCCCGATCGACCTGAACTATCTGAACGTGTACCAGTCGGCCTTCACCCCGGGCACCGTCGCCTACCTGAAGAACATCTTCCTGCACGAGCTCGGCCACGTCCTCGGCTTACGGCACGAGTTCGCCCCGGAGCGCGAGGATACCCAGGATGACTATACCGTGCAGCTGGGGCCCCGCAACCCGCTCTCCGTCATGGCCTATGAGTTCCCGCCGCAGCTGCAGACCTCCGACGAGGACAGCGCGCGCGCCTTCTACCGCTTCCCTGGGACGCAGCTCGGGTGGGGGGAGGCGCGGAGTCGGGCGCCCAGATCAGGGCGGATGCTCAAGCTCGTGGATGTGGAGCCGAATAACTAGGCTTGGGGATAGGGTCGGGCGAATGAGGCTGGTCTTGCAGTCGTTTCGGGATTCATTTCAAGGTGCTTATCTGGTGCTTTTTCTTCTGTACGTAGCGAATGAGACTGCGATGCTACTCCTTCACATGCGTTCGAGGATACGATCCTTGTTGTGGTAATGCTCTATGAATATCAAATAGCCCGAACGCTGATCAGTGGTCGCAGGCATAGAGATGAATGTGCAATGTGTCGGAGGGCGGAGAATACCCACGCTCATGGCTTCGAGATCCCTCCCAGAAGTGACCAGCTTTTGCGCAGCGACCTATTGACAAACTCTTACGCTCTTGACAGCAATCGGGGCTGTGGTTTAGTGGTATAATATTCCCTTAGCATGGGAGAGGTCCGGGGTTCGATTCCCCGCAGCTCCATCTTTTTGTCTTTTTGCCGGGCATCCATTCTTGTGGACGGTAGCTCCTGTGCACGGACGGGCTTGTATGGGTCTCGTCGCTTTTTGCCGTGAACAAATCGCCTTGTTTGCAGCCTCGGCCGGCGTGTCGAGTGGATTGACCGCATGGTATACCAGAAGAACAATATGCACAGTTTGATGTGCCTCGTCGCTTGTAGGAACCAGGTGTCAATCCCTGAATCTAAGCGGGTGTGACCTGGAGGCTGGTGCTAGGAATACGCGGGGGGTGCGTGACAATCGAGTGACTTGATCCGTGGGCCGGTACAGTTACCCCGAGAAAGTTAGCCGTCAGCCTTGGTCCTATGTGTGGTGTTAAGGGTGGTGGTGTGCATAAATCCAGGAACATGTTACTAACACGACTATGGGTGTTGGTGCTCATCCGGTGTGGTATTATTGAGAATTAAGGCCCTGGGGCCATTGCAGACCTTGGCAAGGTATGACTTTACTGATGGCGAATAGCGCAGAGTCAAATAATGCAACTAGAGCAAAATATGACTGCACAGGCGGAAGCAATCGCTGTACGGAAAGAACATGCAAAAATTAGAAGCAAAACAGAATCTCCCCGACTGGGAGTCGAACCCAGGTCTCCCGCGCTTGTTCCCGAATGGGATTGACAAGCGGAAATCATGACCGTTAGACCATCGAGGAAGAGATGGTAGTACTTTATAAGATTGAGCTTATAGCGGGCTGATAGATAAAAGCCCTAAAAGAATGGAAGAAGGCAAAAAGATGGACTCGCCGGGAATCGAACCCGGGACCTCTCCAATGCGAATGGAGCGTTATACCCCTAAACCACAAGCCCTTGTTGTTGAAGTGACTTTGTAGTTCAATATATGTACCATAGCTTCAAGCCATCAAATCAATAGACAATGCACCTTATTCAGGTCCGATGGTGTATAACCTACTCAACATCTATTCTTTTAGTACTCAATCATCATATAGCAATCAAATGGATGTCTGTAGTGTGTCTAACCTAACATATATATCCAAAATTCATGTTCAGGTTCTCACCATCTTCTCGGCCAAGGAGCCGGGCTCAGATATATATTAGTGTGAACGATACTTGGAGTAACAGCCAACACACTGTAACCCAACCACCAACCAATTCACATCGTGGTGGCGTCACCCGTACGCAGTGACACAAGTACCAAAGCTATACACCACAGAGCGTGGGTGCTCGAGAACCAGTACCCCCCAGAAACACCTCCGTGGCGAGATCAAACGCTGACATTTTCTCACCTGCTATCGCAATTACACAAGCTGACAAGCAATAGGCACTAGAAAACATTCGGCAGACAGTCAAATGCGCCCACTGCCACGAAAATCTCGAGCTGGCGACCTATACAAGCGTACTGGGAGGTAAGTTGTACGTACCAACACGTTACTTGATGCACAAGGAGCCTAAACACAAGCTCAACCGCAAGCCCAGAGCTCCCACCACATACGCAGAACAAAGAAAACCCCACTATCAAGTCAAAGTCGCACTGCACGAGGATTCTGTAACTGCATAACCGATATACGGCCTTGGCTAATGCCCCAAGAGATAGCCTCGAGAGAAGCACGCACTGGCACAATGGCACGCCAGAATCACCATCGAGCGCTAAAAGACTAACATCAATACCAACAAGATATGTCATATTTCATTGACTCCTCCTCGCTGATCGTGTAGGAAAGCTCTAGTCACCACAAATGACTATTCCAACCGCGAAAACAAAGCATAGATAGTATAGCCATAGTGCAACAAGCGGTAGGAGTATGCGCTAAGAATGCTAGGGAACTAAGCAGCATAACGGCTTCCCTGTCCTAAATGGCATAGTCCTGTGGGGATGATAGAAGCCGCTGGCGTCGCAGACCCAGGAATAGTCTGGCGTCGCCGTTGGCCCCGATAAAGCGCTTTTCGAAACTGAGGGGCCTCTCTCTTTTCTTCTTGGGACCATCTCACGATTTCGGAATGGGTGCTGAATAGAAGCACGGAACACAATCACGGACAATAAATCATGTGCTATAGGTAGTCCACCCCCCAGGCTTCGGCTGCATCGGAAATGTTTCAGCTGTCGGGATTTCGTTGCTCGACTGACACATGGGTACGATCCTGCCGTCCCCCCTTTTTCTCTTTCCCTTATCGGAGGTCAAGCCCGGATCTCGCGGAGCGGGCAGCGGCAGCGCAAGCCTCGGCATGAGCTTCGATGAGTGGAGCTCAGGAGAAAAATCCAGACGGGTGGGCCAATCAGTGCCACTGGTTCCGTTGCACCACTCCATCTAAGCGTTGGAACTACCTATACAGGTACCCATCGTGCAACCGAGATCTCGTCGCTCGATTCGCCGGGGTGTTCACAGAACCCCCGTTCTGGAGCCGCAGCACTGGAGCCATCATATTTGTGCGGGAGGAAAACAAAGCAAGAACGGGAGATGGATACTATATAATAAGGGCGAGGAGACCCTCTTTGAATACACCAGCAACCGAAATCAAGGCACACACAGCACCATGAGCATCGCATTCGACGTATTCCGCGGGTCGCCCGAGGGACGCATCGTCGCGGACACGGTGACGCGCACCCTCGAGCTGCACGAGGTATTCATCGAGACCACCCACTCCGGGGTCTGCGGCACCGACGAGCACTACCTCAAGGCGGGCAATGTGCTGGGCCACGAAGGGGTGGGCATCATCCGCGCCCTGGGGGCCGGGGTCAAGTCCGTTCAGGTCGGGGATCGTGTGGGATTCGGCTATACGCACAGTATCTGCGCCTCCTGCGAGGAATGCGCGACCGGTATGTCTTTCCAATGTGTTTTGCGTTTTTATTATCGGTGGTGTGTCCGAGAAGGCAACTTACCCCGAGATTTCCAGGCCATGATCAGTACTGCCCGAACGTCAAGATGTACGGGTTCCACGACCGGGATAACGGCTCGTTCAGTCACGGCGCGGTCTGGGACGAGAACTGCGTCTACCGCATCCCCGACGGGTACGACTCGATCCACGCCGCCCCGCTGATGTGTGCGGGCGCCAGTGTGTGGGAGATCTTCATGCAGTACGGGGTGCGGGCGACGGACCGGGTGGGGATCATGGGTGTCGGCGGCCTCGGCCACGTGGCCATTAAGCTCGCCAGCGCCATGGGGTGCCAGGTGGTGGTGCTGTCCAGCTCCGAGGCGAAGAGAAAGGAGGCAATGGACTACGGGGCGTCGGAGTTCCATGTCTTCCAGTCGGGGGGCCCGGTGCCCGAGGGTTTCCGTCAGGTGAAGCATCTTCTGCTCTGTGGGAGTGCTGACGTTGATTATTCTTCGTAAGTGGCTGTCGACCCTGTCTTCGCTCCTTGTGAACTTTTGTCCCAGGCTGCATTCAATCTGCATCCAATGGTCTTACTGACGCACCGCTAGTTTGATGCCATTGGTGGCGACTCGTGGCAGCATCTACCCTCTCACGCTTACCCTGAAGCCCGCCCCGGTGCCTTTGGCCCGCCTCTTCCTTCGTGGCATCAAGATCCAAGGGTCGTTGGTGGCCTCCCGCCAGAATATCCGATCCCTGTTCGAGTTTGCAGCGAGGAAGAATATCACCCCCACGACTATGACCTTCCCCATGACGCCAGCGGGCATTGAGGACGCGATGAAGACTCTGAGGGAAGGGAAGATGAGATATCGGGGAGTCTTGGTACGGGACCTGCAGTAGGTCTAGGTGTCATCAGTCACCGATATTGATCTGTATTGTACATACGAAGAAGAAGAACAACACATCAAATCCATTCAAGGCACCAAGTGCGTAGCCACACCCCAGATCTCAAAATCAGCAACGCCCGCTGAATGTCAGCCATCTGAACGCCAGAAACAAGACATCATTCGTTACCAGCCAGACAGGATCAGACTGCATTCTGGGCGGAGATCATATGTTCGATCGACCGGGCGGTCTTTCTCCGCAGCATATACCACCCGCCCATCGTGACAACGGTCAGCGAGACGGTCAGGACTAGCAGGATCCACCACTGTGACGAGATGTAAAGCTCTGAGTGGCCCGGGGTGTCTCCCTCTGAGCGAGACGGCCCGGCGATAATGTTGGTTCCTAGTATGGTCTGGGGGTGTGTGTGTGCCTGTTAGCCCTAGTTTTCACCGTCGAGCCTGCAGATAGGGCACCTACGGCAATGAAGGTTCCAGGGAGGAAGAGCATGGTCACCACCGAGATGGTGCTCATCGAGGCGCTCTCATGCATGGCATATTTGGTCATCTTCGTGCTGGATTGAGTGTTGATCCGCGAGCTCATGTTGAACAGCTGATTAGTGTAAGTCGTCGTCGCAGTAGACCAGGGAAAGGAGATATGATACTATTGAATACGGGGCTTCTCACCAATTCAAGCAGCCGCTCCACCCGCCTCGCAACATCCTCCACCGACGACTTGAAGTAGGCGATCTGATTCTCGAAGCGATCGAATTCCTCCTCCATGCGGAAATACAGCCAGACGCGCTCGGGGACGCCCGCCTTGCCTTCGACGAGGGTCTGGAAGGTCTCGTGCTGGATGCGCAGCCGCGCAATCACGCCCAGAATAAAGCTCATCTGGATCTTATCCTGGTCGAGGCTGGTCAGGGTGAGATGGAGCTTGTGCAGGTCGATGCGGGCGAACTCGTCCATGCCCCCGTGCACCCTCGCCTCCTCGTCGCGGATCGTATCCCGCGGCTCCCGGGCGGCCCGTCGGAAGTACTGAATGGTCGGGTTGAAGTGCATCACCGAGGTGATGAAGGGATTCTTCACGAGCGCGGCCGTCGTGGGCTCCCGGACGAAGGCCTGCAGGTTCTCCACCAACTCCTCGTGCAGGCGCTGCGGCAGGTCGTTGAAGGATCGGTACTTCAGCAGGACGAGCGTCGACTGCGATCGCGCGTCGTATCGCGTCACGATTGTCATCTTGAGATCGGCTTCCTTGCCTAATCGTCGCACGTAGGCCCGGGCTCGGATTGCGTACCAGAATTCTAGAACACGAGCACAAAATTATCCATGAGCCGGTTGGTCTATGTATTCACCGGCAAGTCCCTCACTCACCGAAGGAGCGCATCTTTCCTTCCTCATCGCGCTGCTGTCGCGAGCCGAAGATCTGTTCCTGGCCACGGATGTGGGAGGCTGCGGCGGGCGCGATGTCATATCGCGTCAGGATCTTCAAAAGGCAGCTGCGTGTGATGTTAAGCTGCGACGGCACGCCGTCCTCACTCTGATCGAGAGTCTTCTCGTTCGTGGGCTCATCAACCCGATCGCTGATGAGTTCGTTGGTGAGCAGTGCCTTCAGGACCGCAGGGTCGTCGATGGTGTGGAGTAGTCTCTCCTGGGGGGTCGGTTGCAGCAGAACAATTCGGAGCTGGGGATGGTGTTCTGCCTGCGCTTAGGGTTAGCATACCACTGGATGGACTCTTTGCGACCGGGTAGAAGCTGGATAGGGAGGGGTACAGCTAATAGTCGATCCATCTCTGCATCATCGCAAAAGCGGGCCGACCCCACGCCATGGTCATGCTCCAGGACCATCACATTCGAGACGGGCGCATATTTCTCGGATCGCCACGATCGGGACTCCTCCTTCAGCTCTCGCTGGCAGAAGCTTCCATCGTCCAGGCCCGAACAGTAGGATGGCAGCGAGAAGGGGTACTGCGAATGTATCGACATCCCATAACCACTATCGCAGGGAGTCTGTATGCGGCAAAAGACGATCCAGACATGGCGACTCGAAAGGAAAAAGAGATCTTATGAGCCTTATCACCAATGCAGTAAGGCTATGAGGCAGGCGCTTCACTTTTTTCACACATTGCCTTGCCAAACATGGATTTAGCTGCATGAGGCTGGCATATGCGCCAACATGCGCCAAGTCCGCACCGCCTCATGAATACGAGAGCCTGCAATCATCCGGCTGCTTCAAGCCTTATCACCACCGCAACTCCCCGCACGCAGCCTTCCCCTGCATCTTCACCCCTTCACACCATCCATAAACTAAAAATAATGGGTGACGCTGCCAGCCTGCAGGTGCCATTCACCTTCCCTCCCCAACAGCCCGGGGAACCTTCCACTCGCAATTGGTACCAAGAACTTCTCGACCATCCGGAATGTGCCAACAATCCCGTACGTGGTGGTGCCTATATCACCGCGGTGCTATAGCCTTCCCCCTCTCCCCCCTCCCCGCACCGCCGACCGGACTAACGCTCTCCCACCGCACAGGCCAAGATACAAGAAGCCTACGAATCCTTCCGAACCGCAAGCCTAGAGCGATCGATTGGCCTGCTTCGCCCGAGTGGACGAGATGGTAGCACTGGCGACCGTAATAGTAGCCATCTTGTCCCACCAACATCGCAGCGCATCACTCCCGACGAAGCGCTCATCCGCTACCTCAAGCTGCAGACCGACGAGACCTACGGAGCCCAGGAGATCGAGCAGCTGAGCAAGCAAGATGTTAATTGCCTGGTCATCTGGACGCGTCCCGACCCACCGATCATGCGCCTGCTCCTCGATATCCAGCGCCGGTTGTCGCGATTCGTAGGGCCTGGTGAGCTGCTACCCTCCAGTAGACGAAGAATGGGACTCCAAACCCACCGCATCTGTCTATCCATCATCTGATTTCGAAGTATAACTGACCCAGCGACCCAGACCTCCATCTCACCCCACCTCCATCCCTCCATCTCTCCATCATCGAGCTCTCCCACCGCCACCCGATCGCCCACCTCCACGAGGTCTACGCCCACATCGGCGAGCCGCAACTCAAGGAGCTCCTCGACACCCCCCGCAACGAGTACCACCGAGAACAGCGGCACATCGCCCGCCTTGTCAAGCCGAAACTCCTCTTCGACAAGCTAGGCGTGGCGATCAGTTTCGTCCCTGCCGCTGCCGCCGCCGACGACGACGACAACGAGAGCCCGTACACTTATCATCATCTCCGGAGCCAGCTGCATATGAGAGCGCTGACGACCGGAGTGAGCATCGATACGTGTTATACGGCGCCGATTGCGCACGTCACGCTCGGGCGGTTTGTGGGGACTACTTTTTTCCAAGGGGAGGGGGCGGGGGTCGGTGATAACCCGGGCAGGGCGGAAGAGCAAGAGAGGAGGGCGATGGAGCGGTGGGTGGGTCTGATCATGGAGATTAATGAGGAGTTGGAACGGGAGTGCTGGGGGCAGCTGGTCTGGGAAGTCGGGCGGCGGACGGCGTTGGAGGTTCAGCTGGGGTATATCAAGTTCGGACGCGGGTTGGAGGAGGCTGAATTGGTGGGGGAGCCGATCGAGGAGTGATGCTTGAAAATTAGCTTAGGATTGCATGGCTGGAGGGGAGGTCAAGATGCATTCGGCTTAGACTCCATGGCTAGAGTAGGGGTGGCATAGAGGGTGCATTTTGTCGTTAGATGGGACGATGTATGATCTGGTATATCGCTCTGACGATCACGGGCTGATTTCACTTTGGCAGGTGTAGTAGTCAATTGACCTGACCCCACACCTCGGGTCTATAAGATCCTAGCTGCTATCGATCTCCTGGTCGAGTGTACCACGACTCGATTGCAGGCACTGTTGGTGAGTGCAACTCACGGCTGTCAGAATTGTTGGGGCGGGCTTTGCCCGTAACAAGTCCAGTATAATCGGACATGCACATGGCCGTGCTAGGTGAAGAGCACTTAGGGCCTGAGTCAGTAAACTTGAAGCTACTGTATGAGTCAGGGTAGGACGGCAGAGTACTCCTGAGAAAGATCTAGACGTCCTCGCGGAACTCACCAAATATCATATCAAGTGCTGAAACTTGAATATTCGGAAAGTAAGGTGTACAGGCCCAAGTTTAGAGTGATCTAGTCAATATTGGAGTACTGACAGGAAATGTGGCAGTGTGTGCAGCTCACGGTCGCCACCAATCATAGCCAATTAATTACCACAGACTTGAACACGAGTGACATAAATTTACTAGAGGACGTCGGAGACTACATACCAGGTTTGCATATTTCGCAAACTGTGATGATGAAACCATGACTAGAAAATGGGAATCCCCTGTAGGTGGTGGTGGTGGTGGTTGTTGTTGCCATAGTTAGCTTGGCGCACGCCATCACGAGCAGCACCCACTAACAAGCTTTATCAATCACCCACAGCTCAAGATCTGCCTGCCCTACTTCCTTCTCGGCCGGTACATGCATAACGCAATTGAGGCCAAGAACAGCGTGACAAACCACTCACAATAGAGCAATGGCCAAACTCTATCGCCTCACAGCATATACTTAAATCGATGGGTATCAACACCAAGATACCAACCGTCCACAACGGCCATTGAACAACCACCCACATTTGCATCATGACGGTAATAGATCTGGTGCCCCAGGGCACGGCTTATGGTCTTCTTATCGGCCTGGGCGTCCTCTTCTGCGGGGTGATCCTAGTGGCGATCAAGATCCAGAGGGCGTATCTAGCCGAGGATTCAGGAACATCCGAGATGTTCATGGTCGCGAACCGCTCGGTTGGCACAGGACTGACGGCTTCAGCTGTCTTCTCGTCATGGATGTGGATCAATGAGACGGTTTTGTCGGCCGCGATGTGCTATCGCTATGGACTAGCGGTTCCCCTGGTAAGGAATCTAGCCCTAACCTTGGACCACCGTGTGTTGACACCTAGCCTCTACAGTGGTGGGGATCCGGTCTCTGCTTCCAGATCGCATTGATGGCAGCGCTTGGCGTCATGGCTAAGATCCGCGTGCCCTATGCCCACACTTCCCTGGAAATCATTCGCATGCGATACGGATGGGTGGGCCACATCATCTACATGATTCTCAACCTGACCAACAATGTGTTCGGGTGCGCTTCGATGATCTTGACGGGGTCGCAGCTCATCCACGGCGTTTCAGCAATGAACTTTGTGGCTGCTACCATTCTGATTCCTCTCGGAGGTGAGAAAAGACATTCAGCGGAGAGTAAGGAGGAGCTAATGTTCGATGGTATAGTGGTGCTTTATACTGCCGTTGGCGGCCTGAAGGCAACTTTCCTCACCGACTTTCTTCACACAACTGTCGCTCTGATTCTCATCATTTACTTCACGCTCTCAGTCCTGACTCACGACGCTGTGGGCGGGCTGTCTGGTCTCTACGATAAAGTGGTCGCAACCGCGAGCGAGAATTACATTTCGGGAAACTATGAGGGCTCTCTGCTTACCATGAAATCCAAGGATGCCATTATCTGGGGCCTCATCTTGAAGTTCGGCAACCTCGCCCTGGTTGTCATGGTAAGTGCCGGCAGTCCACTTCTCTCTGCGGGACATGAATCTAACCGCAACCCGCAGGACACTGCGTTCTGGCAAAAGTCATTCGCCAGTGAGGTCAACTCCACCGTACCGGCCTACAACCTGGCCGCCGTCGCCGTGTTCGGAATCCCCTGGGGTCTCGGCACGGTGATCGGGCTGTCTGCCCGGGCGCTGCACAACACTCCCATCTTCCCAACCTACCCTGGTCCCCTCACGGCCACAGAAGTGAGCACGGGGATGGTGATGCCCTACCTCGTAAAAGCCCTGCTGGGCAACGCGGGGATGGTGGCCTTCTTTGTGCTGCTCTTCATGGCCCTGACCAGCACGGTCTCCTCCTCGATGATCGCGGTCAGCAGCATCCTCTCCTTCGACATGTACAAGACCTACATCAACCCGACCGCGGGGGACCGCCGGCTGCTGCACGTCAGCCATATCGCCGTCGTCTTCCACGCGGTCTTCATCACGGGCATCTCCATCGCCCTCAACTACGGCGGCGCCAACATGACCTGGATCGGCTACTTCCGGCCCATCCTCTCGTGCCCCGGCATCATCCCGCTGGGGCTGACCCTATTCTGGTCCGGCCAGACCCGCCTGGCCGCCATCCTTGCGCCCGTGCTGGGCTTCTTCACAGGCCTGGCCATCTGGCTGGCGACTGCCAAATCGCTGTATGGTCGCGTGGACATGACCACGACAGGCGAGGGGCTGCCGGCGCTATACGGCGCCATCGGCTCCTTCTTCTCGCCCGCCCTCTATTCGGTGCTGATCTCCCTCTACCGCCCCTACAAATTCGACTGGCGCGAGTTCCTCCGCATCGAGCTCGTCGCCGATGATCACAGTTCGGTCTCCGAGTCGCAACCAACCCCCAACCCCGAATCCCGCGAGGACAAGAAAGAAGGGCCCGAGCCCGAAACCAAGAGCGTCTTCGTATCCTCCACCTCCCCAGACTCCAACTCACCATCCCCCTCGCAGTCTCGCCTCAGCCTCGACGACGTCATCCACCCGTTCTCCCCGGAGACCCTGCGGGAGTTGTACCGCTGGTCGCGCATCGCGTGGGCCACCTTCGTGGCGCTCGTGCTGATCACCTTTGTGCTGTGGCCGATGCCGCTGTACCGGGATTACATCTTCACCAAGTCGTTTTTCGCCGGGTGGACGACGGTGGCGATCATCTGGCAGTTCTGCGCGTTCTTGGCAGTGGTGGTGTATCCACTGTACGATGGGCGGTTGGAGATCGCCAAGGGGGTTCGTGGAGTTTGGGCTTCGAGTCGGCGGGTTTGGGAAGGGCGGAAGAACTAGTGAGGGCTTAGTGGGGAATTTTTGGTTGTATAGAGATTGTATCGATGCCTAGATTCATTAGAGGTAGGTCAAGTTTATGGAAAATGAATTCCGTCATATAGCTACACGACAAGTGCTGTTTGCTGCATAACAAGTTTTATCGGACCCTGGAAATCGAGTGTGGAGAAGCCAGCCGAGCAATTGCCGAGCCTTGCCGAAGCCGGACCCACCAGCAAATCCTGCCTGCGCCCTGCGGATCAACCGAGTTCTTAAATCCAGGGCCAGGCTGGGCTGGGGTAATTTGGAGCTGCATTCAACCAGTTTACCAGTCAACCAATCGCTGCAGCATTGCTTGAGGTAATAGAATCCCTGGGTTGCTGATTCTCGACCACCCTCGTGACGGCCACTCACCGTCATAAAGGTCGAAGTACCCCTTCACCCGGCCAGAGTCGACGACACCTGTATGCTACTCAAAGACACCTCAATTGTCGACATCCTCTCCACTGCAAACTCTCCCTATCCTTCTCCAAAAGCCTGGGTCTGAAAACCACCCATGAATGAGCAAGAGTTCCTGGCCCGCCTCCCGCCGTGGCTCAGCCACTGGCTCGGCTACCGCGCCAGCCCTCCCCAGCCCCTGCCCAAGTATCAAATCTGGCTGTGGTCGTTTATCTCCGCCTTCTGCGGTCTCTGCGTCGTCCAGGCCATCTTCAACTACTCCCACTACTTCCTGGACCGTCACGTACCGGGCATTATCGCCTCCTATGTTCGTTCTCCCCTTGCCCTTGCCCCTGCCCCTTCCCCTTTTACTCATACTAACAACAATCAAGGGCGCCTCCGCCGTCCTCGTCTACGGCGCCATCGAAAGCCCGCTAGCACAGCCGCGCGCCCTCATCTTCGGCCACTTCCTGAGCGCCCTGGTCGGCCTGTGCGTGACCAAGCTGTTCAGCCTGATGCCCGACGAGGACCGGTTCGAGTCCCTGCGCTGGCTGGCCGCGGCGCTCTCGTCGGCGCTGGCCGTCGTGGTGATGCAGGTCACCGAGACCACCCACCCGCCCGCCGGCGCCACCGCCCTGCTCCCCGCCACCAACGAGGCCGTCTGGCAGCTCTCCTGGTACTACCTGCCCGTCGTGCTGCTCTCCTCCACCATGCTGCTCGCCGTCGCCCTGCTGGTCAATAACTGCCAACGCCGGTACCCCGTCTTCTGGGTTGCGCCGGTCACGCCGAGGCCGGCGTTGCCGCGGGTGGAGGCGAAGTAGGAGGTGCTTTTTGGGGGCGTCGTGGGGTGAATTGGGCCTGTTGTTGTTGTTGTTGTTGTTGGTGGCGATGGTGGTGTTTTTGCGTTGTTGGGATGGGGGTTCCTTGCACGGTTTTGCGGGCGTCAATTGGGCTTGATGTTAGAGGTTCGGTGTTACGGTCAAAGAGCCTTGTGTGAAATGATTCTGCGGAGGTTACTCTGGTTCGGTGTTCATAAAGAAAAAGATATGTTGATAAAAGGTATAGATACTTAGGAGACGCGATATTCATTTCTAATTTCCAGCATTCATAATAGCTATCAATAATCAGAACATCCTTCTCGGCACAAGATGGATCGTGGATGCAGTAACCTCATAAATAACTCCCGCGCCCTACTCCGTGTCCACCGTCATATTCACCACCGCACCGGTGTCGGCAACCCGGGACATGATGCTGCTAAACTGGCTCGTCGTACACGAGAGATCGAGCGAGACCCGGTGCATGTTCGTCTCTGCTGTTTTCTCACAGCTCCCGGAGGGGACTGAGGCACGCAGAGAGGGCTCCCGGGGCATCAAGTCTAGCTCGGTCATGGTGAGGAATGGATGCAGTGGTTCTGTGGAGGAGTGTCGGGAACTCCTCAGGCTGCACGGGTCAGGCGCAAGGTAGAGTGCCTCGTGCACGGTTCGGAAACTGTTGTCCGTCGGGTACGCGTCTACTGCAGGGTAAGCACACCAGGCGGCATCTGCGAGAATGGCTGTTCAAACTGACCACGAGGCAACAAGAGCACCTGACGGTCCCAATCGTTTTCAGCCTGCGTGGCGTCCAGCACCCGGTCGAAGGACGGCAGCCAGGAGCCGCCAATTGCAGACACTGTCAGATTGGGTGTGCTATCCACCCGACAATCCTCTGTGCTAAATGGGCACGGCAGGATCAGGCGGGGGTCGATGGTCCCATGGCCCACCCACGGTGTGGATGTTTCCCGACAATTACTGGAGGCGTTGTTGGGGGATCGAATCGACCAGGAAGCTGGCGGCTTGAGCTCGATGGGATGCAGATATTCCCTTGGCGCGTCCGGGCTGTCGGGGCACTCATCTGAGGTCCTACCTTCTCTCAATTGCTCGTCGCAGTCCGGAGTGATGCCCCTTTGCGGGAAGCTGCGTTTCCTCCCCAGTTTCACCACCCTGTTGCGCCTGTCACCAGGTGCAGGAGGGCCCTTGCTCAGCACGGATGGACCTGCACGCTCCTCCTTCACCCGAATCCTCGTATATCGATTCTTCAAACTCAGTCCTGTGCGCGGAGGGTTGTGAAATGCCGAAATCGCCGACCAGTTGGTGCCATGCGTTTGGACTGCCTTGAGAAGTTCTTCGTCCTGCTCTCCTCCCGGTTCGTGTCAGCTATCGAGCTCAAAGTAGTATAAGGAATGACTGATTACCTCTTGTTCAGTCCAATTACAATAACTGACATTGGGCCGCAACACCTGCCGCCAGTGACTAGAGCACTGATCGGCACAGCGAGACCCCACGAGGGTGGCGATCTGAGTCCAGTTGTTGCCATGCTCCCGCACCGCCTCGCTGAGTCGCTTGTCCTCCTCCGGCGACCAGACGCCCTTGATGTTGCCGCCGGCCAGCGTGTTCCACCACCGCTTGCGGCAGTCTTTGTTCGAGCGGCCAGGGACTTTCTGGGCGAGCTCGCTCCAGAGGACCGTGTCCGAGGTGTCGAGTGCTGTAGCAGAAGAAAGTATCAGAGTGCGGGATGAGGCAAGGTGTGGGAAGGAATTGTGGGAGCTGTTCTCCATGCACCCACAGTTTTGGACCAGCTTGCGGAGGAGCTCATCCTCCTTGGTCGTCCAGCTGCGTCTGCTGCGCTTCATGCTTGATGGAGGTCGAGGTAGTTTGACATTGGAAGAATTGCTATAGGGGATACGGAAGGATATAGGGGATACATTGGGCGACATGTATCACTCTTCCCTGCCACCGAGGGGTGGAATGTGACTCAATCTTGTTGATAGGGAGATACGGTGCGGGCCAGAGCCAGTACGGCGAACTTGAGACAAGTTTGACATTTCGACCAGACATTCAACTGCGAGAAGCTTCCACCGTATTCAAAAAGGCAGGCTGAGATAGGGAGTCACCACAGTCTCGCAGCTGGTAGAACATACCCCTCCTGCTCCTGCCTGAGTCTCAGAATCGTGAATTCGTGAATCCTCGCTAGTCCGCACAACTCCAAGAGGTGATGTTTGGCCCATCGATGTCTCTAGGTGGAAATGGCCGGTGGTTGTGAGTTCCAGAATTGTGCCCTGACCCTTCTCGCTCGACATGAACGAACCACTCTCCAATCCCCTCAGTACATTTCGAAAGCGAGATAGCATTGCTGGAGTCGATTGCTGAAGGAGTATCCACCCCAACAAAACAGGTATGCGTGCATATGTCTTTAATTCTCACCGACAGAAGCCACCTTATTGAGCCATCGCGAAGTCAATATACTGACTCTGGGTCTGAATTGTAAACCAGCGTGTGAACAGGGATTCTGTGAAGTGGCATAAGTTTCAATGGTGCGGGAACTATCGTATTATTTCAACTTCAATTCATCGGCAACCAGCCGTGAGGCTGTATAGTGGTGTCAAAGACCACATAGGTATCGTTGATACATGTAAGCCTGTGCTTTTTTAGAGTAAGAATCATTGGCTCCGGCCGTTGCTGTGTGGGTACCAGCCCCCGCAGCAGAAACCAACAAAACCAAAAAAACGACAGCAGTCGGATTTGAACCGACGCCTCCGAAGAGAATAGATTTCTAGTCTATCGCCTTAGACCACTCGGCCATACTGTCTTGGATGCGAGTTTGGCTCAAAACTGTGCATGACGGACCAAAACCAATGCAGCAGCCCGTTTTCAGGTCAAGCGTGACTGCATTGCACTACTCGATCATTGGAAATACAGAAGACCGCCAATGCGCACAGCATAAGTGTTGTTCCATAAGCTACAATGCCCAATAGCACGTCCGCCCACCTATTTCAAGCAAGACTGCTCTGCATCAATAGATGTCTCAGTGCTCACCGTATTCGCTAACCAATGTGCTCTCTGCGCTGGGTGATAGGCTTGGCGTAATCGTATCGTTCAACAAAATACCAATAACCTCGTTTACATCCGTAGTCTAGTCACCATCGGTGAGACATCATAGTGTGTCTGTTACGGCTGGATTGTTATTTAAAGGTCAGTCTTCACACTTGTCGTAGTTGCCAAGTCGTCTCCGGTCGTCGACCTGCTCACGCTCAATTCCACTACATCATTTGTCTGTCATGCTCAAGACACCGCCGACCTGTCTTTGTTTATCAGCTAGACTGTTCTCACATTTCAGCACAACTAGTGTGTCAACAAGTTGTTTGATACCTTTGTTTCTCCTACACGATAGCTAGCATGGGATTGATGTTCTCCCCGTCCTATGAGGCTAGACGCCACTCGGAAGCTCTTGAAGTTTAATGCACTTTTTGACAAACCTGTGTGACAACTAATCTCCCCGCATGGGAAGTTCAATGTGCCGGGATGGCCCTTCTCCTCGCATTGCACTATCCGACATCACTGCTCGCACATCCAGAAATCTGAGGCGGGCTTCAAAATATCCGATCAGCCTCAAAAGGGGTGGCAGGCGCACCAACAACTGCTTGGAGCGTGGCTGCAAACTACATGCCTACAGTGGTGCGCAAATACTACCAGCAACCGTCTTGAAAATCACTTGCAGAATATTTTGTCCAATCACATATTCAAAGTCACGAATTTTCATCGCACCCACTTTCCCCATGTCACCACACACTCCTATGACCCCAACATTCTACCCTCAACCGGCCTCGTCAACACAGATTCTGCATGATACCAGGCTGGATCGCCTCTAGCCTCCTGCAGAGCGTATCCCACACGTAGGTAGCCCGCCGCTCGTCGGCCGCGATGGGCGCATAGGCCTGCACGGCGCCGGCGCGCATGTATCGTCCGTGGGTTTCGCGCCCGGCGGCGGCCGTCTGGACCACCAGCCGGGCACCCTCCTCGGCGGTGCGGGCGGTGATCGCCTCGAAGATCTTAAAGAGCACCCTGGCCAGCCCGGTGGACTCGCTGATGATGCCGGTCTTGCAGAAACACGGGTCAAGGGCGTTGACCACAATCGAGGAAGACTGATCGTTCGTCGAGTCGCCGAGGGCGGCTAGCTTGATCATCGCGTAAAGCTGTAGTAATTTGGAAAGTTTGTACCTAGTGCAGCATTTTCCATCAGCAATGGGTTATGTGGCATGTAGGGCGGGTATACCGACTGGTTCATAAAATTCACGTGGGATTCCTCCCGAAACCAGGTGAAGATATCCTCACCGTGCTGCTCGGGGTATTCGGCGATGTCGTAGAGCGCGGAGGCGACGAAGGTGATCACCGGCGTGACGCCATAGGTTCGAGCTGTCGCCTTCATTTTCGGGATCATCTGGACCGTCAGCAGGAAGGTGCCGATGTTGTTGACGGCCAGGGTGCGCTCGGTGTCGTAGACGACCTTGAACTTGTTGGCGTGGATCCCGGCGTTGTTGATCAGGACGTCAACGCGCGGAAGTGAACGAGCGGCCCACTCTGCGAACCGCTTGATCGAGGCCGGGGACTCCAGGTCGAGTTCTCGGACGTCGACGAGGTTGGTCTTACAGTTCAGCTGGGCCTCGATCTCGCGTTTAGCCTGCTCGCCTCGGGACCGACTGCGGCACGCGAAGATGATCTTCTCGGCCCCGAGACGGATGAGGTGCTTCAAGGTCTCTTGTCCTAAGCCTCCATTGGCGCCGGTCACGATGATAGTCTTGTTGGCGAAGGAGACGGACGGTTGGGGGATTCGGAGAAGGAATTGGGTATAGAAGAAGTCGCTGAGAGTCGGCATCGTGCGATTTTGGGTCTATGCGACTATGAGAGTATGGCTATCAAGGAATTGGACTGTGGAATGTGACTCTAGATCGATAGAATAGAATTCTCTGATCGGCATTCAACTATATATTTTCGTCCTTTGCTCTTTTTCACAGTGGCATACAATCTCGGGGTTAAGTCCAGACAGACCGGATTTAACAAGTCCGTGGAGATCAACATAGTGAAGCCTCAGGTATCAGGCATCAACTGCACGTGAGGCTCGTGATCCGTTAAGTCCGCGGATTTAAGGCTGTTCTCCGCAGCTTACTTTGCAACATCTATCATCATCATTCATAGCTTCTTCATCAGTGTGCTGTACTCTAGATGCAGTCTCCCGTCATACCCGTGCCACAGAGACGGCGCGCCCGCATCCCTCTATCGTGTGACCCCTGCCGCACGCGAAAGTGTGTAGATCACATCGCTGCTCTGTATGATCCGAGGCAATGGCTCCATTGCTGACCTAGATAGACTCAAATGCAACCGGGAATACCCTTGCCAGAATTGTATAGCTCGTGGCGAGCAGTCAGCATGTCACTTCAAAGGGGCCAAGATTGACTCCCTTGCGAATGCTCGGCGGGAGCGTCAGCTCGACCCCTTGCGCCAACGGATCGACCAGTTGGAAAATATGGTGAAGAGACTCATTGCCCACCGGACACCCGAGAGCCCTAAGCCTGGCGACCTGGTTGCGTCCGATACAAAAGATGTAGCCGCAAAAGATGTAGCCTCTGCGGGAAAGATAGTGCTCGATGGCGCCCATTCAGTCTATCAAGGTGGTGATGATTGGTATGATGTGTTAGAGGAGGTATCTCGTCCTGTTCATGATTCCAACGCCATTTAAACTATCTTCGATCATCTGCCGGTTTGTTGTCATTGAAGCTCAACTGACGATTGTCAGATCAACCAACTCAAAAACACATGGGCCCAGGCTCAAGACGACCGAGTGGACCATCAGATTCCACCCACACAGTCGCAACTAGCCGACGGATCGAGCCTGCTATTCGGTCAAGTGAAGCCCATAGATCGAATCGAGATCCTAGCCACTCTCCCACCCAAGCGCGAATTGGACACTCTGGTGGCTATTTTCTTCGATCGCCCAACCTTCCCAATCGCCGTTCCTCGTATGTGCCAGCCACAGCTCATTTGGTCCGCTGATCTGATACAAGTCTTAGCCATCATCCACGAGCCGACCTTCATGCGGGAGGTAAGAGCACACGACCCGTATTGATCGAACCCTAAGGTAACCTTAGCCTAGTATCATGAGCATGGCAAAAATCCATCCCAGGCGAACTTCATCTGGCTGGGACTCTTATTCTCCATTCTTGGTATCGTCATGCTAGCCTATCACCAACACGGCGAGCCACCGCAGTATGAAGGCCGCTCCGAGTCTCTCTTCCAACTGTACCGCATCCGCACGGCGCAGTGTCTCCTGAGCGGCGACATCGCCAAATGCCTCCCCTACACCGTGGAGACCCTGCGCTTCAATGCTACCGCCGAGCTCAACCGCAAGGACGACAACCGCCGCGGCCTCTGGATCATGACCGGCGTACTGGTCCGCACGGCCATCAACATGGGCTACCACCGCGAGCCCGCCCACTCGTCACCCCCGATCCCCCCTTTGCAAGCGGAGTATCGTCGCCGTATCTGGCTGGCTGTGATCAGCATGGACAACATGGCCTCGTTCCGCGCGGGCCTCCCCCGCATGCTGTCCGCCATATACTCCGACACAAGGGAGCCACGCAATCTGCACGACTGGGAGCTTCCCGCCAATGATGCCACCGCCGCCAGCCTCCCACCCCCTCGACCATTAACCGAACCCACCGCGGTGACCTACCTAATCGTCAAGGGCCGCCTGTGCCATGCCCTCGGCCGCGTCGCAGACCTCACATGCAACCCTACCCCCAGCACCTACGCGGATGTCCTCACCACCGACCGCATTCTGTCCGAAGCCTACAACAGCTTCCCTCCGCACATGCAGCCACCGCCACTAACACCACAACCACCGGCCCCGCCGCAGCCCCCGGAGCAGCTCCGCCTTTCCTACGCAAAGATCGGACTCTGGTTCATCTACCACCGGGCGGTGTGCACCCTGCACCGCCGGTTCCTGGCCCAGGCCAAGATGAACCCGCACTACCGATTCTCGCGGGATCGGTGCCTCGGCTCCGCCCGTGCGCTGCTGGCCGCCCAGCGCGATCTGTCCGAGCAGTGGTACCGGTTCGCGCACACGCGCCAGACCCTCAGCTTTGCAGCGATGGTGGTCTTCCTCGAGCTGGAGTTGCTCCGCCAATTCCCCGGTGCGGAGGACGCGGTGGAGCAGGCGGATCTAGTGCGGGATCTGGAGACGTCGGTGGCGCAGTGGGAGGTGAACCGGGAGATCTGCGACGAGGCTGGGAGGCAGTGGCAGGTCCTCGCTGGGATGCTGGAGGGTGTTCGTGGTCGCTTTGGTGCGAAAGATGGCGGTGACGGTGGTGGTGTTGAGGCGGCGTCGGCCGATCATGCATCTGCCCTGGGGTTATGGGGCCCTCCGTCCCAAATGCCGGTCGTCGATAGTTTCACTTTCGAGAACGAATTAGCCACTGTCGAGATTGATTGGGTAAGTTTCTCCAACACTAGCGGTGAAAGTATGTGCTAATTGGTTTTAGGCTGCATGGGATTCTTACATTGAAGATGCTGGTTTTGGATCGGGACCAATCTACTAATCCATGGTTCTGTATACTCTAACTTGAGAGAACGTAGACCTACAGCACACCTTATATACGCACAGATCCATCCTGATACACATCCAAACTCGTTTTCATTATTCACCCTGCACCTGGCACTGCACTCTACCAGACCCCCCAAAACCACACACTCCTTTGCAGTGCAAAAGGGAAATTGAACTTCTATGATCTAACAACGATACAACGACCCAAAATAGCACAAGAATCGAAGGAGCGACCATAAACAAGCATATATAACATCATTATCAACATACTAAACCCGGGTTCAGTTTAAAGACAGGAGGAGTCATCACATCGTGGAACATATGCTGAAAGCTGCTGCGTGCCGCCTCGGCGGGGTCGAAGAAATCATTGCAGTTTCTGGGCTTTTTCGCTTTTTGTTTTTTTCATTCCGGCACTGCCCAGGTATAGACGACCTTATCGTCACCGTCCTCTCGTTTGCGAGTCTGTGGTACGGCCCAGGTGTAGGCCACTTTGTCGTCACCGTCCTCTCGTTTGCGACTCCTCTCCGGTATTGCCCAGGTGTAAGCGATCCTATCGTCACCGTCGGCTACTTCGCGTCTGGAGGAGTCTACATGAGATTATGTATGTTAGCCTACCGGTAGATGACAAGTCAACACAGCAACTAACCTCCGACGAGTGGAGCAGCATTGGTGAGGGTCAACGCGGCCAGGCCGTAGTATAGCACCGTGGTAAGATGCATGATGAGTGTAGTAGTTTGCAGATGGAGGAATTGCAAGTCGATTGGGTTCGTTCCTCGAAATTCGTTCCCTTGAACAAAAACACGATAATCGAGCAAAGGAAAACGTTCAATTTAAAAGTTGCCAGCAAAACAACCCCAACCGAGATTAACCGCTTGTATTGACTTTCCTAACGGTCGCTAAGAGAAACTGACAGGTGACAGAAGAGAAAGGACAGGCAGAAGATTGTCGAAACAGCGGAATCCGGCGGATCACAGCATGAAATTAAACATTCTTCACAAGAAAAGAGGGGGTGGGGAGGGTTGGAAGCTGACGGACGGGAAAAAGAAGAATCAATGGAAATGGGGAAACAATGCCTTAGTTAAGGTGAATGGCTGAGAAAAGTAACAGCCAACCAACCATTCATTCATCCCAGGAAAATCAAGTAGATTAAAAAACGAGAACTGGGAGGAACTAAGGGCAATGAACCAGTTTACCCATCAGTCTGGGCGGGCGACGACACTACAAAAGGTTTTCTGCTGCCACGCGCGCGCAAGCAAGGCCAGGCAGATAGCCATTGCCCATTTCTCCCAGTTTGGAAAAACACGAGGGAAAAAGCGAACTGCCACAATGCGTACATGGCGTCATGGTGTTTCCCTTGGCAGGGTATGTAACCCAATTGGTTCTTTTTCGTCTGAAATCCGACCGGGAGTGGAAGGGTTTCCTCCGCCCCCAATCGCCTTCTGCTGCCTTGCAGTTATGGCTAATTCTTTGTTGTGTCTCTGTCTGGGCTGAGCGCGGCATGAGGGTTGGTGGGGCGGGCTATGAGGACACTTCCTTTGAGTAAAGTCGGTATGTATGGATGTATGGACGTGTTTTCCTTTCCTTACCTTTCTTTCTTCTTCTTCTTTTTTTTTTTTTTTTTTTTTTTTTCTTTTCTTGTTTTGTTAATCCATTCGCGCTCTGACCGAGATGGAGTTCAGGTACTTTGTAGAGTAATCCGGTTATCCCGTCTTGTCAACTCAGCCACCGTTTGAGGAGGGAGGGAATAAGGACAGAAGAAATCACTGTCAGGTGTCGGTAGGAAGGAGGAACTACTGGCAATCTTACCGCAGAACAAGGATTGCTATGCACCTCTGGCCCTGCATCTACCGGCACGCCGGAGTCGCTCTTATCGTATGATAGGAGGGATAAGAGAAGCGAAGAAGTAAAAGAAATTCTCAATACTTTGAAGCTCTTCCCCAACCTTTACTTTCTTCCTCTTCCATCGCGCGGGGTGAGTTGGCCATCATGTCGTTCGAACTCCCCTCCAAACCCCACGAGCCCTTGATGCGCGGGGAAGAGGACTACCACGATGGGCCCGCACCGCCCCGACACCGCAACGCAAACCTGCGATCAACCTTCATCCGGTGCGGCTGGATGCTTCTTGGATTTCTGGTTGCTGCGATAGTTTTCGGCCTCGGGGTTTCCATTGGAAAGGGCATTCCAGCCAGAAAGCGCGAGGGACTCTTGAGTACGACTTCCCCCACCTTTCACAGCAACATACTTAACCCTGACACTGTTTTTCCCTTGACGACTGTAGTCCCCGAAGGCGACATCCAGATCCGCATGGAATACAACAGCACCTTCTCGCAGCACCCTTCGCCCGAGACCGACGCGGCATGGGCCTCCCTCTTTCCCAAGGGAGTCGGTTTCGTCAAACACCCAACCCTGGCACCCGAGCTGTCCGGGTTGGTCGTCTTCCACGCGCTGCACTGTCTCAACGCCCTGCGCGAGGTCTACTACGCCGCCGTGGACGGGCAGCTCCCCCATGCGGAGGACGAACACGACCGCATGAAGGACCCGCACCACGTCCGGCACTGCTTCGACTACCTGCGCCAGAGTCTGATGTGCGCGGCCGACACGAACCTCGAGCCCGTTGACAAGGAGCTCCAAGGCGTGACGGGATGGGGATATAGCCGAACGTGCCGGGACTACGAGAGCGTGAAGGCATGGGCGGAGGCGAACTGGTCGAACGATCCTTCCTAGCATTTTCTGCAGTGTGTATATATCACGAGATTCTATATTCTATTCAAAATTCAAAGACTCATGATCTTCATAAGTCTAAACCATCTGCCGTATACATAGAGTGAAGTCATCCACCTAAGCGCCCCCCACAACCCCGGGCTCCCACGCATCCACCGCTCGTGCATCATTCCACGCCCGCAATCGCTCCCAATCGACGCAGACATGATTCCCCTTCGCTTCGACCGTCAAGTCCCTCTGCTTGCCCTCAGGACCGGTCTGAATCCACCGGAACCCACTCAGCGTCACGTCCGCCCGACACAGAATTGCCTCCCGGAGCAACTCGACGCAGTGGTCGACGTGCGCCTCCTCCTCCACCAGCACCGCCGCTGGGGCGTCCGCTAGATAGTGGTCGCGGTAGATCCAGTGGCGGATGCGCTTGAGGCAGTGGAGTTCGTGGAACACCCCCAGCTGGCCGACGAACTCCCCCGCACCTTCGCCTTGGCCTTCGCCTGCAGCCCCGACGATCGGGAGAGAGGTGACGTTGTAGAAGGCGAGGTCCTCCTCGGTGACGCGGATGTTGTTCTTCTCAAACAGCGTGTGCCAGGCGGCCTCGAGCTCCGGCCGCGGTTTGCCGGCGAAGGGGTTGTTGTGGAGGCGGACGGGCCACGGGCGGGTTTCGTACCCTACGGCGTGGGCGGTGCGGAGGGACGGGAAGATGGCGTTGTGAGGGTTGGTGATGAGTCTGTCGAGGGCGAGCGGGGTATGGGTCAGGAGGAGGAGGTAGAGGGGGATGAGCAGCGTGTATGCGACCGTGATAATGCTGTAGTGTATCCGCAGCTGGGTGCGCTGGCGCGGGCTGGTGGTCGCGCGATCCCCCACGGTCTCGGACAGAGTCTCATGGTCGTTGAGGTCCTTTCCCTCCTCCTCGGTTGGAGCGAGTTGATACCGTTGTTCGTCCTTCTTCATGGTAAATGCTCATTGCAATGCATGGGGAAAGAAGAAGCTCCCTCTATTCTCTGGACCCCATGGCCATGGAGAGAGAGTCCCCTTCGATGTGGATGACATAGCCGGGGCACTGGTGAAGAGACAAGAGCAACCACCACACCACGCCACGCCACTTTTCTCACATGCAAGGGTATCGGTCTCGTATTGATGCGGTAAGGCTGTGGAAACGAAATACCCAGCCTTAGGCAGCAGGTATTCATCTTCTTGGAAGCGAGAGGGGGTCTTCTTTTTCTCGGAGGATATTTTGGTGGGACAGGCGTTGGGTGGGGTCCCAGCAGCCACTTTAAAATAACTTTATTATATTATAGTGCACTAAGAATGAGCTGATCAATTCAATCGCTCTGCTAGTCTGACTGCGCACCGATCTCCACATTCTTCAGCAGGGATTGTCAGTGCCACCTGGCCGGGGTGGGAGATGGGCTATGCCGCTTTGATAGGGAGGTGGGGGATTCTGGAAAGAAACACATCATTTCGGCCTAGAATGCACAGTTTCACCGGTCATTTCTATCGCTGATGTCGCATTACTGGTACTGCCATGTACTCCCAGCAGGAAGTACCTCGTAGCGAGGCCTTGGACGGCCCGCCAAGATTCCACTCGTGCTGCTGCAAGGAACTGATTCTCGTATCCCGGCTCTAGCGTGGGTCGAATGTGGTCAACCCGACCAGCACCTGGCGGGCCACGAGATGATTTTCTAGCAACACCAAGACCCCGAGCCGGCTGTGCGTAATCTCCACAGCATAAGTGGGCAGAATTGGCCGTGCGACTCCCCGGAAGCGCGGAGGTAACCGGCCATCCATCAATGGAATCGCAAATGCCATTAACTCACATAGTATATGATCCCTGTCACCTCGTGGACCACCACGACGCCGTCGGTGACTCGGTCTCCACTCCATGAACAGCGCCATCGACTCAATCGATTGACCCCGTTCATCGTCCTGCATACGGCGTGACATTGTCGTCACACTAACTAATTATACAGCAACCATGACGTCCCGTCCGACCTCGGATGCAAATTTTGCCGACCTCGGCCGGTCAATCGCGTCCAACCTCGACCGCATCACCCAGATCTATACCGACCTCCAGCGACCGCTACCCTCCTACGAGATCGACTCGCCCCTCGACTTCCCGGTCGAGGTGCAGCAGCTCCGGCAGAAAGTGCTAGATGCCACTCTCCAATTGCAGCAGCTGTTACTAGGCCCCAAGGAGAGTTTATTTTTGTGGGCAGTGAGTCTTGCCTCCCATCCAGTACTCCAGCAACGGATTCTATATCCGCAAGAGGTCCCTCGTCATGTGACTAACCTCAGCCCTTCCTGCCTCCCAAGAGGAACAATATAGGCACCATCCGCGCGGTCTCTGACTTCGAACTCGCTCGTTCCTTCCCGATCGGCGAGACGGCCACGTTCGCCGAGATCGCGACCACCGCTGGACTTCCGGAGCAGAAAGTACGTCGGATCATCCGCCATGCTGCGACCGAGGGGATCTTTCGCGAGGAGCCACAGGGGGTCGTGAGGCACACGGCCGCGTCGCGGATGCTGGCGGAGAACCGGGTGATGCGCGATTACATCGACGTTCACTATAGAGAGATGCTTCCCGCGATGAAAGAGGTCTGCATAGCATTCCCCCCTGCACGGCCCCTTCGGATCTGTTCCGTGATCATTTCGGACCTCTGACATGACCATTCTCAACGTGAAACAGACCCCAACCGCCTTGCGCAAATGGCCCAACGCCACCGATCCCGCCCAAACGGGCTTCTCGCTCTCGCAGCCCCCGACCCATCCCACCTTCTTTCAATACCTGACCACCCAGCCCGACCGCGCGCGGGTCTTTGCCTCGGCCATGTCGACCTACAGCACCGGGCCCGAGAATGACGTGAGCCACCTCCGCGACGGTTACGACTGGGCATCCATATGCGGCAGCGGCGCCGGCGGCGGAGGGGGCGTGGTCGTCGACGTCGGGGGCTCGACGGGGTACGTTTCGCTGGCCCTCGCGCAGACATTCCCGGCCCTACGTTTCGTCGTTCAGGACACGGCGCCCACCATCGCTCAGGCGCCCGCCGCGACTGCTCCACCTGGGGAGCACAGTCGGGTGCAGTTCATGGCGCACGACTTCTTCGCCGACCAGCCCGTCCACGGGGCGGACGTGTACCTGCTGCGCATGGTGCTGCATGATTTTGGGGACGCGGACTGCGTGCGCATCCTGCGCGCGCTGGTGCCCGCGCTGCGGGACGGGGGCCGGGTGGTGCTGAATGAGTTCTGCTTGCCTGAGCCCGGCTCGGTGGGGTTGTTGGAAGAGAAGCATATCCGGTATGTTTTCCCCACCCCCTCTCTCTAGCGCAGATCTATTCCTCGCGGCGACTTGTTGCCGTCGCTGAGCAATGATGCCCCAAACTCGTCTTAACACCGATCAACTGATGGTTTATCCCAGAACAATGGACATGAACATGCTCAGCCTGTTCAATTCCCGTGAGCGTGACGCAGCAGACTGGCGGGCGCTGTTCGCGCAGGCCGACCCCCGCTTCCGGTGGCGGGGCGTCACCAAACCGGCGGGCTCGAACCTCTCCGTCATTCAGGTGTCGTGGTCGTCCCCAAGTGCCGAGTGAGGTGCGTGGAGTGGATCTTGTGTGTGAAGAATACTCCCATCTCGGTGAATGACTAGTTGCGTGGATGGGGGATGTTTCCACTTCTCTTCACATCGTTGCAGTGGGGGCCGGAAAAGCCGATCGTAACGGTTTCGTGTCTTGGCTTATTTTCATTCTTCTTTTTTTTGTGTGTCGAACAATTTAGAGGCCAGGCTGTGTGAGATTCTTGGCACGGGTTTGTTAGGTCAGCGGAAGTGATGAAGAACGCAGAGAACACAGACGGTGGGACTTGGCTGTGTTAAGGAGTGCAATGACTGAGTAAGAAGGAAAGAAGGAATGCAATGGGCGGGCTACGGCAGTTAGGTCGGTGATAACCGGGGATCAGATTATTTTTCCATCTGCGGTTTTCTCACTGCAATTAGGCTAGCTGGGTAAATCGTTGGCGGGCGGCGGTCTGGTCTGGGCCAAGATTGAAATGCCATGGTTGGGTTGGGGTTGGGGGTGGGGGGGGGGGGAGCAGGCGGAGTGTGAGAAAATCGATTATCGGGATCATTCGGGGTGAGAACAGGCACGCAAGGACAATCTTACTCACATACTCCGTACTTCGTGCTCATAAAATCCTATGTACTCATGTAACAAGTCGATAATCAAGCAATAGCACAACGAGGCTGTGCAATTGCCCACGAATGTCCGAAGTTACGGACTCCACTCCTCTGCAGTGACTTCAGCGAAGGGGGGGAGGGGGACCCCGAAAGCCGGCCTCGGAGAGGTTGAACATCCCTCGTGCGCAGGATAAGCCGGCCCAGCCAATCGAGTGGCAGGATTTCCCAGGCTAAAAGATGACCGCATGGCCACATGCATGGTGTGTTGTGCTTCCCAGCCTTTTGCTACATCTTGGCGGGAGGCCGGACACGTTCTGTCTGATTTGTTTCCTGAGCCGCGAGTCGAGGGGTGCTGCTGACTGCAACTTCTAGACGGTCCAAAGATTGACTGACGGTCAGCGTAGGAACGAAAAGTCAGGAATCAACCTTAAAGTCAGTTCCCGCTTGGATCCATAGGATGGATATCGAGTAGACTAATCAAGAGAACCACGGCACTACATCAACTAGCTCATCAGCCCTAACTTGAACCACCGTCTAGGGTGGAAGGGAAGGCGGGAAGGGTTGCGGGCCGGGAGGGGATGAGGGGCCAAGTAGTCAGAGCGCTGGCCCCCAAATAACTCCAAGATACGGAGTATTCAATAACTGCTCAGTGCCATTCTCTCACTCATAATCCAGGCATTATGATCACAATTCACAACAGGGTGACCAGCCCATGGTCTGGTTCTATCCCGTGTGTGTGGGATGCAGGCAGGCATGCAAGCACCTAAGCAAGGGGACTAAATATTGATTTGTCCGAGGCTCAACAACCATTCGATCGGACCTCCATGCTGACTCGCTCACTGGCTTACTGTCCCACGCTTATCCGACCGATAAACCCTGCCTGCCTGCCTGCGATTGGCACCCCGGCCAAACAAACATGCACAAGCGCATACCTAGCATGCTGACACTTGACCAGAGGGGGGAAGGGGAAGGGTAAGGCGGAGGGGAGGGAGAGCGCTCGTCCTAGCCACTTCATGACTTAACAAGTAAGGTAGGGATTAGCAGCGAGCATCATGTATTTGCGCGACATTCCCCTCAATTCCCTCTTCCCTTTCCCTCAAAGCTGATCTCTTGTCTTGTCGGTTCGTACTCTGGCAACCCGGATTGCACTGCCGCCCGCATGGGCTACAACAAGGGGGAGATGATAGCCTTAGGCTTCATCTTGATGTTCGTACCCGCCATCTTCGTGGGGTTACGTGTCTGGGCCCGGCGCCTCTGTGGCGCTCAAATGGGCTCGGACGACTACACTATCTTCGCCGCCTTGGTAGGATTCAAGCACCTTTCCATCGGTCGCAAACCTGGGTACTGACCTCACCGTAGTTATTTTGCACAGCCGTCTGTATCTGTCAACTGATTGGAGCCATCGATGGACAATTGGGCCAAACCCAGGCGACCTATCCCAATGGGGAGCCCATCCTGGACGACCCACGGTTTCTAACCTACGAACGGGTGCGTATATGCCTCCGCGTCGCTCAAGGAGCTGAAAGAGTTGGAGAAAAGTAAGCCACTCTAACCCGCACGGACAGGCCAAATTCGCGCTGCATATGTTATCTGTGATGGGAGTGGGGCTCAGTAAAGCGTCGGTGATCCTGCTGTATATGCGCATCTTCCACACGCGGACTTTTCGGCGGGTGTGTCAGCTGTTTCTAGGGCTGGCCATTGCGTGGACGGCGGTGATGTTCTTCGTGTGCCTGTTCCAGTGCTACCCGGTGACGGCGCTGGTGGAGGGGTTCTACGGCAACAAGTGCATCAACACGATGGTCTTCTACAACGGGCTGAGCGGGTCGGACGTGGTGCTGGACGTGTGCGTGCTGCTGCTGCCCATCCCGATGGTGCTGCGCGTCAAGCTGGAGGTGCGGCAGAAGGCGGCGGTGCTGGGGATGTTCCTGCTGGGCGCGCTGGCCGTCGCCTCCAGCATCGCCCGCCTGGCCGCCTTCATCGAGTGCGAGCGCGTCCTCCTCATCCACTACAACAACGAGACCTACTACACCTCCGGCGTCTTCATCTGGACCGTCGTTGAGCTGGCCCTCGCCATCATCAGCGCCTGTCTACCCACCCTGCGCCCACTCTTCTTCTACCGGAGCCGGGGCGGCCTTCCCACCGGCGACACCTTCAAGCTGGCCCACGAATATCACGATCACATCCCCTCGCGCCAGGCGCGGTACGGTCGCCCCACGGACACGATCGACGAGCTGGAGGTCGCTGTGCCGAGTGACCGGAGTGGGCCCCCGGCCAGCGTGCAGATTCAGATCCAGCGCACCTCCTCCCACGAGCGTGGGCACCCGACCGACGGAGTCATCGTCGTCGAGCACAGCACGACCTGGACGGACGTCGAGGCTTTCAAAACCGATATTGCGATTGCCAAGTGAAGGTCTCGTGGTTCCTCTGATGGGTTGTGTGCTGGTATGAGTAATCAGATCATGTTGTTCTTTCCATAGTCTCTGCCCTAGTTTTCTAATCCACAGTGAATCTGTATATTGCCCTCGATGGGATGTGTATGGACCGCTAATTCTCTTGCGTCTATGCGCGGTTCGAGTTAATGGTTCTTCGCCATTGCTAAATCTACGATATTTGCTGTATGTGTCTGGAGCTTAGAGTTGGTCATGTCCCGAGTGGTTTTGATCGCATTTTCGAGTGCAAGTTATCTTCATCTGGGCGCTTCCTTGAGACCCGTCACATACTGGAGTTCTTAGCCTGCCCAATCCACTAGAGCTCCTCTAGGAAAGAACATTATCCCATTGAGCGTCCCATCTCGAAACATACCTCCACCCTGCCCGCTAATAGCTTAAACCTGTGCCCCATGCACGAATGCCGCACAAGGCCCCAGACCCACCATCAGGAATGAGCAAAAAAAAAAAAAATAAGAAATAAGCCTGGGACCGAAAAAGAATGCACCTCGATGACTGAACACGAGTCCCCTTTCACACTAGTAGCTCATACCACGAAGGGTTTCCACGTGTTCCTGTACCTTCTGGAACTAGTTGAGAATCCTACAATACGCCTCGTTCCTGGTTGGTATGATCACAATCCCAGTGAGCACCCCACTATGAATCTTTAGTCAACTGCTAGTCAACTCGCACTCCCGACAAATGATTACCAAGCACTGACCCTCCCACTCCCCGCTCAGTCAATTGCAAGTCGGTCTTCAGTACCATTGAGGACCAAAAGAATGTCTGCAGTGGCTTGGAACGCCACCGCATGGGCGCTCCATTCTTCACCGTGCGCCGGGCGTTCTACAAAACCCTGCCGCGCACGAGGCGGCCATGTGTCTCGTCCGGTTTACCCGGTAGCTGCAGTAGGTAGCCAGGTAGCGCATTGCAACCGCTTCAGATTCCGCAAACGGGGTATCTTCCACGTAATCACTATCGACAAAGAAAATAAGCTGCTAGCTTCTCCAGCAGAACAGTCAATCTAACGCACCATGACTGGTCCACCCCTCGCGAAGCACCGAACCGGAAGTCCAAACCGAGGGTTGACGATGCAAATTGACAATCCCCCTCCACAGCCATCGGAGTCGGAGTGGGATGAAAGGATTGAACGCTAAGCATCCACCTGCGCCTTTTCGTGGCGTGGTTGAAAGCATCAGTCGGCAGTCTGGCTCAGCATCCGTGCAAACCAAGGTTAAGTCTACGACTACAGCATCCAGCTAGCCTTTGATGGTGCGGTGCCCAACCTACGCACATGCTGCTCTTTCTCCCCGCCCCGCTTGATGGAACGGGATGAGCCCTCGCTCGGTCTCAGAATCTCAGAAGTATATTAGATGCGGGATGGCATGGGGCTGGGTCGTGTTTGCTGGATCTAACCTTTTCTTTAGTCAATGCCTCTTGGTCCCCTTCATTGTTACCCGGTGTGTGGTTTCGCGGTGTGAAACACTGTGATGAGGGTTCCGTCAGCATTGGGGCTTGCTGCCTTGGCAGGTCCGGCCGTGGTTGAGGCGTGGACGAAGTACACCGCGTTTGAGACGTGCTTGCAGCCACGGCTCTCGTCCACGGCCACGATCCTCAATGCCTCCTCGACGGTCGTCGCCCCGCGATGGACGGAGTATGACGAGCCCGTGACGAACCACGTCGTCAACGTGGCGACAGAAGCGGACGTGCAAGCCACTGTACCCTCACCCGTCCCTTATCCCTTAGTATTGGGCTGACCCCACACCACAAACACAGGTCTTCTGCGCCAACACCCACGACATCCCCTTCCTCGCCCAAGCCGGCGGCAACGCCTGGAGCACCACCTGGACCCTAACCAACGCGACCACCCCCTCCATCCTCATCAACCTCCGCGCCCTCAACGCCATCACCTTCTCCCCGAACCGCACAACCGTCACCGTGCAAGGCGGCACCCTGATCTCCGAGCTCCTGACCGCCGCCTACGCACACGACGCACAGGTGGTGACCGCGAA